AGAGCCAACACAACATAAGCTTCCAAGATGCTCGCGGATCGAAAGCTCCGCGAAGGCTTTATGGCTGACTCGTCGCTGTTGTCGTCGCCTGCATCATGGTATCCTTCTTCCTCCACTACCCTTATACTTGCTCATTCTCTTCTTCTTCCTCTCCTCCTCCTTCCGCTTTCTGTTTCTCATTCCTGCTCCGATCGCCACAGATAGCGACCTCCTCGGCCCGAGAGTGTCCCAGGGTAACTCCCAGAGGGCCCCCCCCAGAAGAACCCAACGAAGCCGCCGCAGCCTGGGGACATCTGTTCCATCATCCGACACAGGTCCCAGCCGTTTCCACACTCCCCTGATCAAAGCACCTCGCCTGGAGATCGTCTCTAGATGGGCTGGCGGGGATGTTTTTTTTGGTCGCGGCCACCAGCGAGCGCGCAAGCGGCGAGAGAAGTTGTCCGGGTTGGCGGGAAAACCTAATTAGCTACTGAGCGCAGCACCAGCCGGCCGGGCCAGCTCACAAACGCGGCAGCTGGGGCAGCGGCTGCGGGGGGCTGGCTGGCTGAACTGGAACGCCCAGGGAAGCTCGAGCAACGTGCAGCCCGGCGGCAAAATGCCAGGGAATACTGGCGGGGATGCGCGAGGCGTCAAGAATTCTCGACACGCGCAGACCGTTCGCCTCGAACTTCTTGGACCGTGGGCGCAGTACTCTGCGCACTGAGGGCACCGTCGGACCTGGGCCGGAAGAGCATCCCTCGGGAACAAGTGGCCCTCCGTCGGCCAAGACAAGCAGAGCATCCAAGGGAACTCTCTCCACGGGGTGCACGAGAGCAACAAACAGACACGAAGAACACTGGGGTTCCCCGGGTGCCTCGTGGGGGCATCTTGGTGCATGGTTTGGTTCCCTTGAGGGCCTCCTGAAGCTTGTTGGGGGCCTCTTGGGGGCCCGCTGGGGGATCGTCTTGAGGCGGAGAACGCGAAATGTAAGTTCGGATTACCCTTCGCGGGTCTCTCTTAGGGCTCTCTTGGAGCCGTCTTGAGGACATCTTGGGCAGTCTTGGGCACTCGGTTGGGGTCCGTCGGGAGGCCTCTTGGGAGCGTCTTGGAGGCGGTTTTGGATATGTCTGAGGGCCTCTCGGTGCCCCTGTGGGCATGATTTGGGTCTCTTGGGGGCCTCCTGGAGCTTTTAGGGGGCTTCTTGGGGACCTGATTGCGGGCGAGGACGCAAAACATCAGTTCGAGCTTCCCCTCTTGGGGCTCTCTTGGGGCTCCCTTGGGCCATCTTTTGGGGTCTTGGGCCGTTTTGGGGCGCTCTTGAGCCGTCTGGGAACCTATTGGGTTGTCGTGGGGTAGTCTTGAGGGCCTGTTGGGACGTCTTGGAGCGTCGGAAGCCCAGACAGGAGAATGCTAAACTCATACAAAAAACAACGGACAATGAATAATTTGGGCTTCTGGAGGCTTTCTTGGGAGGCCTCTGGTAGAAATATCGAAGACTCTTTGGGCCTCTTGGCAGCTTTCTGGAGCCATCTCGAGATATACTGTGCCAGTTTGGAAGCCAGAGGGGGGCATGGTCTCAAACCATGTTGGAGCCCAATTGGGCCGTCTTGGAACAAGATTGAAGACTTCCTGGGCCGCCACGAAGGGGGGGGGAACCGCAAGTACTTGGTAAACTGCTCCCCCCTGGCACAGGCACCTCCTCCGTGTATGGATATACATATATATACATATATATGTACACATTCACATACACATACACACATCTATATATATATATACATACACACATATGTATACACATACATGCACATATACATTATGCATATTTAGACATGGAAACGAGAGAGAGCCTCCCAATCGTCGTCGTCCTCCTCCTCCTCCTCCTCCGCCCAGGGGGCCCGCACGGCTCGCCTTGGTCTCGGTCTTCTCCTTGTCCTCCTTCACCTCGCCCTCGGTCTTGGCCCCAAGGATCTCGGCCTCCGACGAGGAAGAAGCGGAACTAGAGACTGACACACGGGGTCACACGCAGAAGTGTGAGCACCACCAGACTGGCGCTTTTTGATGGGGCGCGCGGGGCTCACGAGAAGGCCAACTGTGTCGAATGTCCAGACGGATTCACTCACTATTGGAGCAACGGTTGGCCAGCTCGACGAGGGAGGAGGGAGGGAGGGAGGGAGGAAACGAACGAACGAACCACCTTAGCAGACAGTCGTCCGTGCCGAACTACGGTCAGGTGGGTGAGGCATGGCCTCCCGGATCTTGTACATTATCATATGTATGTATATAAGCGTGCATCGAACAAAAAACGAAAAGAAAGGGAGGGAGGGATGATGGAGGAGGGAGGAGGGAGGGGGGGCAGGAAAATCTTACTTCGTTTCCCAAGCCCCCGACGTTGTCAGTGTTTCACGGCCTGGGCCCAGGTTTCGGGACCTCCATCCCCAGGGGCAGACTTTCGCCGCGGGGGGCGGAGAAACGCCCAAAGCCTCGGCCCTCGACGCTCGAACCTCGACCCTCCTCCGACGGGAGGGGGGGGCAACACAGAAACAGATGGCCCCTCCCCCGACCCCGCCCCTGACCTCTCTCGCGGGTGCGCTCTGACCAGCTCCTCGGGGCGAGCCCAGCCGCGGCCACGAGGGGCAGCGGGGGCGGCACCGCTTCCTGCCCTGGCCCCCCAGCTGCTCCTCCTCCCTCCCCTCCCCTTCCCTCCCTGCTCCCTCCTCCCTCCTCCTCGCTCCTGCTCCCTCCCCCCCCTGCTCTCCTCCCTCCTCCCTCCTCCCTCCCTCCCTCCTCCTCCTCCCCCCAGCTGCTCCTCCCTCCTCCTCCTTGACCCTTGACGCCGCCCGCTTCCTGCTCGGGCCATGCCGTACCTCTCGGCGCCCCTCAACTCCTCCGGGGCGACCCGGACACCCCGGCACGGCGCCCTCGGCGCGGCGCGGAGAGCTGCCGGAAGGCACCCCCGAGGCGGCATATCAAGGAGCCGCCAGGGGGCCGCCGCCGACGACGGTCGAGAGGCCTCGGCGCCGCCGCCCCCGCCGCCTCGTACTGCTTCGCGTACACGTCGCCGAGGCCCACGCGGCTCTTCTCGAAGTTCAGGGTCTCCGGCGCGCGGCGGAGAGTCGAGGAGAGGGCGAGGCCGCTAGCCGCGGGGGCGGGGGGGCGCGGAGGGGGCGAGGCGGGGCGCGCGGAGGGGGCGCGCGCGGCGGGGCTCCAAAGAGAGGGGGGGGAAAGGCACACAGACACAAGTCATCGTCGACCCCCAGGAAGCTGTGGGGAGATCTGGGAAGTGGGGGGGGAAGACGGCAACCCAGAAAACATAGGAAAAGATGGGGAATCCTGGGATCAGTGTCTGCTTCTTTGTGTGTCCCTGGGCCTGGGAGGGGGAGGAAGAAGGACCGCGAGTGTTGAGCAGGGACCGACCGTCCCAGCATTCCTATAGGCCTAGCACGACATTCTCTTCGAACCTCAAGATGTTTTCAAAACAGAAGCAGTGTTCTTAGAACATACGCCCAATGCATTAAAACAAAACTGCCTCGGCCAGAAATGCTCTCAGAACGCACTCCGCGCAGTCCAGAAAAAAAGGCTCTCATAACATCATTTGTCGGTCTTATAGGCAAGCTAGGACGCTTCGCCACTGCTCGAGAACGGATCATGCAGAGGCATCCTAGATGTAGGAGAAGATGGGGATCGCGCCGCATCGCCGATGCATCGGTGATGCATCGGCGATGCACCAGCGATGCGTCGTCGACGTCGGCGATGCATCGGCGACGTCGACGTGAAGCAGATCGGGCCCCACATCCAGCCGCGTCGCCGATGCATCGACGATGCGGCGCGACCCTCCGAGCCCATCTGCCGGGACCCCGTCTAGGAGGCCTCGACCACTGGCGAGCCAGGACGCCCCCGACAGTGACTCGGAGGCCTCCGACGAGGACTTCTTCTCGCTCGCCTTCATGGCCAGCCACCACCTCCTCCGCCGCCACCCTCCATCCTCCGCCCTCCACCCTCCACCCTCCGCCCTCCTCCTCCTCCTCCTCCTCCTCCTCCTCCTCCTCCTGCTCCTCCTCCTGCTCCTCCTGCTCCTCCTGCTCCTCCTCCTCCTCCTCCTCCTCCTCCTGCCCACCCCCCGACGCCCCACGCACCGCGCCCCCGAGCCCGCGACAACGCCGCCCGCGGCCAGGCCCCCGCCCCCGCGCGCGCCCCCGGGAGGGGCCCCCGCCCCCGGGAGGAGCCCCCCGGGGGGCCGCGCGCGGGCGGCGAGGGCGCGGGGCGGCGAGCGCGCGCGGAAGCAGAGCGGCGGCGCGCCCCCCGCCGGCAGGCGACCGCAGCCTTATCCACCGCCCCGCCGACCAGCGCGGGCCCCCGCTCTGGGTTTAAGTTGGACCTGTCCCCCTACAGGGGGATTTTCGACGAGAAATAAAAAGTACCCCCAAAATAATGAAAAAAAGTCGTGCAACAATAGTCTGGGGACTATGTTATGAATTTGTTGTTTACCTTTTGGGGGTATGTTTGGGATATGTTCGGGGTATTTCTTATTCTTCGTCGAAAATCCCCCTGTAGGGGGACACGCCCGACGTAACTCTGGGTGCGGAAACAATGGGCACAGCGCCCAACAACAAATGTTGCCCCAAACCAGCAGCGGCCGCTGTTGGGCGGGCGGCCTCCTTTCCCAAATGGACACAGGCCTCGGCGGCGCGGACAGCGAGTCCTGTTCAAAATGAGCAGGAACTGCTGATGAGCATCGTGCCCATTCTTTCCGTACCCATTTCGTTCGTGCCGACTCGCACCTCCCCCCCCCCTGGAGTACACCTTGGCTGCTTTTGGCGCCTGCTTCGAGCAGATGGAGCCCCTCCCCTACAGGGCGCGCTGTTGCGAGCAGTCGCATTAAGCAGAGGTCCGGAGCCAGACCCCCCCCCCAACTTTCGCGCAGTGTCGAAACGCCGAATAAGAGAACGTTCTCGGGCAGGAGCCAGCAGAAGGCCGGCGGAAGCAAACGCGAGACGCCCAGGCCGCCTGGCCTGGGACAAAAAGGGCGAGCGCTCACGCCCTCAGAAGCCCCGCTGCGCCACGCGCCAAACGTAGCGTGTCGACACGGAGCCCCACGCGCAGACTGGACACGTAGGCCTGGCGAAGTACACTCGCCGAAACGTGGCCAACACGCTGGGCCACCACGCAGCTTGTTCAACCCGGAAGTTTTGAACCCCGGCACGTGCGGCGCTCCGAAACGGGCTCCTCAGGGCAGCTGAGCTCACGCCATGTTCATCTGTCGATGCCCCCCCTCCCATTCCCCCACTGGTCAGATCTGGCGGTGGTTCTGCTGAGAAGCGCCTCGGCTGCAGTCCGCCCCGCGAGTGCCGACTTTTGACCTGGGGGAGCGGGAATGTCCATGACTTGTTCCCCGAGGGGCAGCGATAGGGGGGGACTGGCATAGGGGGGGATGCATCGACCTGGAATCGGCGATACATCGGCGATAGATCGGCGATATGCCTCCGATCGTAAATCCGCAACTTCCCGGGCAGGTTGGGGCTATCGGGCCCCCATCGGCGATCAATTGGCGATGGGGGGTCAATGCATCCTCCCCTATGCCTATCCCCCCTTATCGTTGCCCCTGATTCCCCTCTACCATCAGTCAAGCAGGCGTGGGCAACAGAATTGTCTAAACATGCTTAGCAGATTCGTCGCGATTTCGGTCGGAACCTCTCTGATTTGGGCACGTTTCCAGCAGAAGCCTGGAAGGCAGCGGTGCGCAAGTATACTGTCTAGCGCACGATCGTGCCATTGCTCATGTGCCTGCGGACACACGGCTTCATTTATTCATTCGTCAGTCAAGGGCGCCGACAATGAGGATTGGCCCAGGTGTGGGGAGGCACACCGACCCACACTCGCCCATTCATCGCACATCGGAGCCTCGGCCTCTTTCTCGCCGAGGAGCGTGCAAGTCGTGACTGGATTCGAACAGTTCGCACGAGAGGAAGGATGCAACCTGAGCGCGGGGACCCGAAAACGCAAACGGTATATGATCCCGGGTCGAGGGTTCACAGCTCATCCCCAAAGATGGGATGGGTCCCACCACAGCCCCCCCCTCCCAAGATGAGATGGGGGGGGGGGGAAGCCGACGTCGACGCCGATGCCGACGACGACGCCGCCGCCGTCGACGCCGATGCCGCCGCCGAGGCCGAGGCCGAGAACGACGCCGCCGCCGAGGCCGACGCCGACGCCGCCGCCGACGCCGACGCCGACGCCGACGCCGACGCCGACGCCGACGACGACGACGACGCCGACGCCGACGCCATCGACGACGACGACGACGACGACGACGACGACGAGGAGCCACCCCACCCCACACCCCACACCCACAAGGGGGGAAGCGATCTCATTCGCGGAGCCTTCGCGAGGCTCAAAGGCGTACCCATCCAGCGGGGGGGAGGCTCGATCCCATATGCATTAGGGCAGGAGAGCCCAGAATCGAATCGATAAATCGGATCGGCGGTCGAAATGAACCGAATCGGAACCCAAATCGGAATCCAAAATCGACTCAAATCGGAATCGGAAGCCATTGAAGTCGAATCGAATCGAACCGGAGAAATCCAAACGAGCCTTGGTGGGGGGGAAGGGGGGGCAACCCTGGGTCATATGTACTCATGTTGTGAACTACGCCTCCGCCACTGGCTCGACCTTGTGGCGAAACCCACGGCACAACAGTACTTCGACATGTTCGGCGTACCATCGTCAAAAACGTTGCAACATGAGCTGCGCAATATGACCTACGACTCTGGGATTATACACATGAGACTGCGACTTCAACTCGAAAACTAGATGTGCTCTGAAAGATGCGCGCCGAGCGAGTCCGGCTGCTAACTGTGCGAGCCAGGGCGGCTGCCGTCCCTGCGCTGGCACGGCGTCCCCCAACCATCGGGAACCGCATATGCCAAGAGAGCCCATCATCGAACCGACAAGTCGGATAGGCGACCGAAAGGAATCGGATCGGCGGAAATCTAGATCCCGCCTTCACCCCATCTGCTTGGAATGAAGGGGAACTGGAACACACAAATAAATACACACAAATAAAAAGATTCCCCATATTTTCCCATATTTTCTGGATTTTTGTCTCCCCGCCCAATTCCCATATTTTCCCATATTTTCCTGGCGCTCGACGATTAATTGTGTCTGTGTGTTTCTTTCCCTCCTGATGGAAGGCCACGCCCCCTCTCGCCACCCCGTTGCGCGTGCCACCATCACCCCCGGCGGCCGACGATGCCACGTGTGCTGCCTGCGGCCTCCGCGCTCCCGACGCCCTTATCTGAAGGGGCCCACAAACACACACATAAATACACACAAATAGAAAGATTCCCCATATTTTCTCATATTTTCTGGGTTTTCGTCTTCCCCCCCACTTCCCATATTTTCCCATATTTTCCTGGGAGTCGACGATTAATTGTGTCTGTGTGTTTTTTCCCCTCCTGATTATCCTCGGGCGTGACTGTTCGCCCCGGATCAGGCTGTGGCTGTCCCGGGGCCCGAGAGTCGTCCCTCGGCGCCCAACGTCAGGGGAACAAAACGCCACATTGAGAAACGTGAATCTTGCGCGACCCCACCTGGAGGAAAGCTTCCCAGATTGCATGGGCGCAGCAACGCTTGGCGTTGCTTGTCATTGCTTGGAACGGGTACAGTAAGAACACGAGGCACCGGGGGCGGGGAACCTGGTGAACCGGGGGAACCCGAGGACCCCGGGGAACCCGAGGAACCCGGGGAACCCGGGGAACCCGGGGAACCCGAAGAACCCGGGGACCCGGGGAACCAACCTCCGAGCCACGGGCAAAGTAACCCCCCGAGGCACCAGCCTTTAACCAATTATAAGAACCCCGTAGGCAAGCCTAATTGGGGAACGAAGCCCTCCCGTGCCGTGACTCAGAATCCGCGGTGCTCTGGGCGAGGTCGCAGGTAGGGCAGAAATCCCCCACTACTCTTCAAGAAGCTCCTTTGGTGCCGGTGTCCGCCCTGCCTTGCAGTCGCTGTTTCCGTCACGCCTTTGCGGGAACGTCCGCCCCAGTTGTCTCAGGCGACAGCTTCCACCCTGCTCTGTCGCATCGTTTGGTGTGCATGTCCGACACCAGGCTCAAGTCGGAAACCTAGCCACATTGCGGCGGATTCCCCGAATCGGGGCCAGGGCCCGAGAACGGCCTCCGGGGCCAAGAGTCTATAGCAGACATGCCTGGACTGAAAACAAACCGCCTCCGAGGTACGGTCAGGAACTTTCGTCTAGCGTGTCGCGGCGGCGGCCCCGGCGACACGCTATGCCCTGCGAGCGGATAGCGTGTCGCTCCGCTCCGCGGGGCGGGAGGCTGGGAAATGCTCGTGGCTTTGACGCCCAGGGGCCCAGTAGTGGCTAGCGTGTCGCGCCGAAGCGTGGTGGGCCAGAACTGGCGAGGCGACACGCTAAGCCAAAGCTCCCGGCCGTGATTCGGGACCATCAAGATCCTGAGGATGGGGTCGAGCGCGACTTGGAACAAGATCACGAAGCCAGAGGTCTGGATCCTTCCCAGACATCCAACGCATTGAAAAATCAATGACGAAAGGGTTTCGCCTCTTTCGGCCCCAGGCCATCTAAACGAATCCCCGGGCCTCTCCTGGAGCACACTCCGACTACGAGTCCACGGCGGACCCAGCGGCGCGACACGGAAGCCAAAGTTCCAGACTGGAGGACTCCTGGATCGGGTCAGACTCATGGGGTCGGAGGATCGCGCCGCATCGCCGATAGATCGGCGATGCATCGGCGATGCACCGGCGATGCGTCGTCGGCGTGGGCGATGCATCGGGGACGTCGACGTGCAGCAAATGAGGCCCCACATCGAGCAGCATCGGCGATGCATCGGCGATGCGGCGCGATCCTCCGACCCCTCCTCTCCTCTCCTCCTCCCTCCTCCTCCTCCTCCTCCTCCCTCCCTCCTCCTCCTCCTCCTCTCCCCTCCTCCTCCTCTCCCTCCTCCCCCTCCTCCTCCTCCTCCTCCCCCTCCCTCCTCCTCCTCCCCCTCCCCCTCCTCCTCCTCCTCCTCCCCCTCCTCGTCTGGGAGGCCTCGAGCACGTCTGGGCCAAGGGCTCCCCGGCGCGCGGCGGCGGGCGGGCCCCGCGGCGCGGCGGCGGCCCCGCCCGCCTCGACCGTGTCGTCCTCGGCGCCCTGCGGCCTGTCGGCGGGCCTCACCGCCGCCCTGCGCTGCACGTCGTCGAAGGCCTCGGCGCCCCGGGGGCCTCGTCGTCGCCGTCGGCCCCGTGGTCGCCCTCGTCGCCGTCGTCGTCGCCGGGGCCTCGTCGTCGTCGGGGCCTCGTCGTCGGGGCCTCGTCGTCGCCCCGGGGCCTCGTCGTCGCCGGGGCCTCGTCGTCGTCGGCCTCGTGGCCCGCCCTCGTCCACCGGCCGATCGGTCGGGGCCCTGCAGGCCCTGAGTGCCGCTGCCGGCGGAAGCAGCGCCCATCCACAGGCGTTGCGTCGACGGTGCCGCCCCCAGACCCCACCCCCCCGTTTCGATGTCGCGGTCGCGGCCCGTGGTCGGGGTGCAAGCATCAGAACCGCCCACAATCCACCGCCAAGGCAACCCCGTTTTCAACATTGGCATTGGGGGTACGGGGGTTCGGAACACAGCAGCGTTGCCCATGATGCCTGATGGGCGTTTTTTACGCCAACGGTGGCAAGTCTTGTGGTGCATTTTTGGGAAGCTTTGGAAGAGCCTCCAGGGGCAGGCGATCTTTGTTAGACGTTACCCGCTCCTGTTGTGTTTGGAGCATTTGGGGGCTGTTTGGTCGCTTCCGCCACCGTTGGCGCGGGGTCTCGTGGCCGCCGCCGTCGTCGTCGTCGTCGTCGTCGTCGTCGTCGTCGTCGTGCTCGTCGTCCCTGTGATCCGTGCGTCGCGACAAAGGCACCGTTGGGCGCGAATTAATGGGGGAAGAAAGGTGCCCTTTTCCAGCCCTAGAGGCCCCCTTCTGGGCCCTGAGGAGCCCCTTCGGGGTCCCAAAGCGCCCCTTTTCTGCAGCCCCCGCTGCTCTCCGGTTCATCCTGGCGGCGAGCGCGGGGTGAAGTGAGAAGGAACGGGCCTCCTCAGAAGGCTCGGAAGACCCCCGGCCTCTGAAAAGTATTCTAATTAAGCCGTCCCTGAAGACACGAGAAGCCCTCGAAGGGCCGGAGGCCTTCTGAGAAGCCCCGCCGCCCTCCGAGAAGGCCTTTTCTCCTTCTCGTCCCCCCCCCTCCTCCGCTCGCCGCCGAGGATGGCCCCTCCAGGCGACCGCCGCCCGGGATCGTGACGACCAGCCCTTTCCCTTTGACAGGGCCCTCTTCTTCTCGCTTCCCCCCCCCCCTCGCCATCGCTCGGACGTCCACTTCCCGTGCACTTTTCCGGTTTTGCGCGTGTTTTTTTGCTCGACAGTCCAGGATCGTCCTCCATGGCTCTCGCCGAGCGATGCCAGGCCCCTCCTCTTGCGAGGATCGCCGAGGGTCGCCCCTCCACCCATCGCCGCCCGGGATCGTGACGGCGAGCTTCGCCCGCGCGGCCTCGGCACGCTTTGCGGGGGGCCGCTTCTCGGCCCCGCGCGGCCATCAAAAAACGCGGCCGATCGGGACAGGAGGCCGGCCCGGGGGGAAGTGGCACGCCAGGGAAGCACTGCAGCGTCGGAGAAGGGCCTTCGTCGTCGTCGTCGTCGCGTCTAGAACGGCTTTTGAAAAAAAACGCACAGGTTCCCGAATTCATAGAACCCTTTTTCGAGCGGACCCAGCAAAATGGGCTGTGAACTCCTCCGGGAGTGGTCCGGAGGAAAGCACTAGAAAAAACACCGTTTTGGACTTTATGGAACTGTTTGTCGAAGGAATACGTCGAGGGTTGCTGGACTCGCCCAATTTCGGGGATGGACAGACCTCCCTTTAGTAAAACGTGGTTTCGCGAAAACGACCTCGGGCCAAAACCTGGCGGGCGCAAGCCTGGAAGATGACGGCCGCGGCGCCCTCTCGAGAACCGAAAACGGACAATTCACTAATCGACGTGTCAGGATAGGAGGTCTGTCCACCCCCGACAGTGTTTCTAAACCTCGCTCCGCAGCCGCTCTCTACACATGCCGCCCCGCCGTGGGCCTCCGCGCCGTCTCTGCCGCCCTCCGCCCTTCCCTTCTCTTCGTGAAGCCGCCGCCCGCCCGGCAGGGCGCGCACCGGCCATGCGGCGGGCCCCGCGCCGAGAAGGACACAGCTGGCGGGCCCCAGAACCCCCGAACCATCATCATCAGCAGCAGCAGCAGCAGCATCATCATCATCATCATCATCATCATCATCATCATCATCATCATCATCATCATCATCATCATCATCATCATCATCATCATCATCATCATCATCATCATCATCATCATCATCATCATCTCATCATCATCATCATCATCATCATCATCATCATCATCATCATCATCATCATCGTCATCATCATCATCATATCATCATCATCATCATCATCATCATCATCATCATCATCATCATCATCATCATCATCATCATCATCATCATCATCAGCAGCAGCAGCAGCAGCAGCAGCATCATCATCATCATCATCATCATCATCATCATCATCATCAGCATCAGCATCATCATCATCATCATCAGCATCAGCATCAGCATCATCATCAGCATCATCATCATCAGCATCATCATCATCAGCATCATCATCAGCATCAGCATCATCATAATCATCATCATCATCATCAGCATCAGCATCAGCATCAGCATCAGCATCATCATCATCATCATCATCATCATCATCATCATCCTCATCCTCATCCTCAGCTGGCGGGCCCCAGAAACCCACCCTGAACCAGAAGACCTCGCCATCTCTGTGGGGGGGCGGATTATTTACTTGGACCCACCGTCTTCCGCCGGGCCTCCCTCCGGCGGCGCGCCCCTCGCCTGCGAGGACCTCGCCTTCCGAGGCGGTCGCCTCTCGAGGATCGCAGGAGGCGGCGCGGTTAAACATCGACCTCGCGAGGCCGTTTTTGAAGCGCGCCGTATGTTACGAGAGGGCCCCCAGATCCCCGGCGCCCAGGTTCAAGACGGCGGACGACTTTTTGTGCTACAGTTCGGGATCATCAGCTCACTGGGGCGAAGAGCTGGTCTCGAGGATGAGGTCGAACGCGCCGTGGAACGGTCACGGAAGTCTGGACCTTTCCCCAAACCTCCAGCGCATTAAAAATTCAAAGACGGAAGCGTTTCGCCGTCATCCAGATGAATCACCGGGCCTCTCCCTCGGACCACGAGTCCAAGGCAGACCCAGCCGTGGCTGGGGGCATTGTGGGCCAGGGACATTTCTAGCAACACCCGATTCTTGCGGTTCTGGAACGCCTTCTTCTGGGTCGGTTTCAACTGCTACACGGAGTTCGGGACAAGGTACTGCCACTTCGATCCCACAGGTATGGTGGTGCTCTCGTGGCGTGTTGAGCTGGTCCATGATCATTGCGTCCAGCTCGTGAAGCAAAACAGACCAGGGAATGCAGGCCAACGAGGTGCTCTTCCTGAGACTTACAGACAGCTGGCGCACCATGCAGATGTTCTATATCATGGGGCCGCTGGGGCTCTCGCACACGCAGAGGCAGCGGAGGAGCACGTGGAGAACGCGCGATCCGAGCGCCCCGAAAGACCGAGCTGCCAAGCCGGTGACGAAGATCTCAGACGAGAGGGACACGCGGCACCGCGGCAACGGCAGCCACCGCGAGGGGCCCCCTCGCAAGACGGCGGAGGGGGAGGAGGAGGATGAGGAGGAGGAGGAGGAGGAGGCGGAGGAGGCGGAGGAGGAGGAGGAGGAGGGGGAGGGGGAGGAGGAGGAGGAGGAGGAGGAGGAGGAGGAGGAGGAGGAGGAGGAGGAGGAGGAGGTTGGGGCAGCGCCGCGGACGAGCCTCTCCTCCCGGGGGAAGCGGGGCAGGCGGGGGGAGAGGACGAGACTCGGGGGGCGGCCCGGCCTCGTCCCAGATCCGCTGGCGGATGATGGCCTGGCGAGGAGCGGGGGAGCAGGCAGCCACACGCGAGCGACGATGGGTCGGGGATGGACAGAACCCCCTTTAGCGAAACGTGGAACAGTGAAGACGACCTCGGGCCCAAGCCTGGCGGGCGCAAGCCTGGAACATGACGGCCGAGGGCGCCCCCTCGAGCATCGACAACGGACACTTCGCCAATGGACGTGTCAGGGAGGGGGTTCTGTCCATCCCCGAATGGGGGAACGGTCTGGCCCTGGACTGCCCGGCGACGTGCGCCGGGGCTCACGCGGGCCGCCAGCGTTAAGTCGGGCCTGTCCCTACAGGGGAATTTTCGACGAAAAAAATATACCCCCAACATGCCCCCAAAAGGCAACAAAAATACCCCCAAAATAGTCCCCAGACTATTTGTTGATGAATGTTTGACTATTCTGAGGGTATTTTCAATTTTTCGTCGAAAATGCCCCTGTAGGGGGACGGGCCCGACCTAACGCCAGCGCGGCCCCGCCGCGTGGAGAGGAGGGCGCTCGCGCGGGCACTGCTCGGGGAGGGGGGCCTGCCAAGGCCAGCCAGGACCACCTCGGGGGGCCGCCCGCGCGCAGCCCAAAGCCTCACCAGATCCTGCTCGGCAGGGTCTGTCGATATAGTCGCACCCCCCCCCCTCCCCTAGGGGGCCACGTGCGAACCCCACCCCTCCCCCCCACGATTTCTGAGGGGGAGGGTGGGGTTCACTTCGCTCGGGAGCTCCCGAACGAAGTGACCCCCCCCCTCCCCCTCAGAAATCGTGGGGGGTAGGGGTAGGGTTCGCATGTGGTCCCCTATCCCCCCCCTCTCGCCTTGCTCGCCCTCGGTTCCAAAGCATCCGACGTCACGTTTCTCTCCCGGCGTGGGCCCGCGGGGGCGTTCGGGTCCATCCTGTGGGACCGGGCTTTCGTCACGCGCCGTGTTAAACTTTGACGAGCTGTCCGCCGCGTGTTTCCCAAGACGGTGAAGGTATATGAGTCTGCACTTTGTCGTTGCCTGTGGATTGATTCCTCCCCCTCCCCGCTCTCCAACAGGACGGGCCGCACTTTGAAGACTTCCTGCGCCCGTCACCAGACAAAAGGGCAGCCAGTTGATGTTCCACTATGAAGTGGGGGGGGGCTCCAGCGAGATGGACCGCGAGGACGGGGGGATAAAATGCAATCAGGAGGAGGATGTGGCGGAAGGGGGGGAACAAGAAAATCATCAGGAGGAAGTGGTGGTCCTGATCGCCCCGCTTTCACTCTGTTCGGCCGACTCATTTCGCCATACTCATTTTGTCCTGTTCACTTTGTTACAGAAGAGTAGGAAGCCCACCGTTGGTCACATGTTATGCCGTTTGTTTAGATAAGACTGCTCGGGAAGTATCTGATCGAGCTCTAGACGGATAAAAACAGGGTAGGGAAGGCGATCAACACGAGCGTGTGAAATAGACCTGTCAACATTGATTTGAGCAAGACAAAGACTGGTCAACTGATGAGTATACCTCCAACAGTGCGGGATCATCATCCTATCTTCATCCTTCTGCTTCCACATACTACTTATCCCCTCTATCAGTCCTGCTCTTCCTTACCTTGGGTGGTCCACACCTCCCTGGCGGGACCTCCCAAAATGAATCAGCTTACCCTCTCGCTGGCAATTGGGGAACCCATCTTGCAATCAAATCACAGGGCAACCGTCAGAAATCAGACATAATTCTGAAAATTTCGATACGCCAGCCACGTACACGGAGAATATACGCCCTCGCAAAGGATGCGCAACTGGACACTTCAGTCGTCCAGGAGTCGGGGGGGGGGCGGCATGTGCGAATACCATCGAATGCTCGGCGCAGTTGTCAGTCTAAAAACCGCCCCTTCGCTACTGCAGGCCCGTTGATTCTCAAGGAAGCTTGAAAGGACGTCGTGCACTTTGCTCTGCCCAGTGGCAATCATCTCGATCCAGTCTGCTACAACCTCAGCCGTCGCGCATAACGGCAAACCTCGAACAATGTTCCAACTTGAATATCGAGTGTTTCAACAAGACCCGCCCTGGACCGTGAACGTCAGCTGTAAATGAATAGATCTGTTGCGTATGCCTCAAATCACTGCTAGCGTGCGGATGTGGAAGCAACGGAAGCATGGAAGCCTCAACGTCAAATGCCTTGGAGCTTTTGGCAAGCTTCTCCGCTCCAGGCACGTCCTCTAAAGCCTGTGCGAGAGGGGAGCTCAGCGGAACGTGGAGGAGAAGTGAATAGAGAGGATAGACACGACGATAAGCACCCAAGGACGCACCAAATTCACCAGAGTCAGACGAGGACTCCTTCGGGTGCCCGCAGGACGGTACACCACCAGATCACCCGAATGCGCAAAACGGTTGCAAAAGAGATGCACGCTCGGCGATCTGCACATTCAATTGACAACTCCGCCGGGCCCGTGGGGGAGCAACAACGTGGCCTCGTTGGCACGCCAGGGTGCATACGGGGGGGGTAGGTTGGGGCGAAAACGTCGCTCTGGGTCTGCGAAATGCCGCTCCCTGGGACCGCAGGGGCGCATGCGATAGTGGGCCCGCCAGGCCGCCCACTGGGGGGCGCAAGGCACGCGACACTCGCGCGCTTGGCAGAACGAAGGGGAGCGAGGCCTCAGTCATTTTGGTCTGCGAGGGCTACTTCTCCGCTGCACCCCCCCCGAGAAAGGCATACGAAAGTGGCGACAAGCGTGCCATTGCCAGGGAGCACGGATGGAGGGATCTGATCCAGGTTTGCGCGAGGCCCTCCTCCTCCTCCTCCTCCTCCTCCTCCTCCTCCTCCTCCTCCTCCTCCTCGGGGCTGGACCCCCCGAGGGCGCCGGAAAGTTGCGGCAGCTGTGAGTTCGGCGGCTTCCACAGTGGATCAACAGGAGCAGCCAGAAGACTGGAACGACAGGCAAGCAGAGAGAGGAAGAGCAAGGAGACAAGGTGGCAGTGGACAGGGAGGAAGAGGCAGGAAACTGCCTAAGGACAGAGGTGATAACCCACTGCTATATTCAAAAAAAGGGTCAGACAGAAGGAAGAGCGTAGAACACAGAAGGAGTAAGACAATGCGCGCACCTGAATTCGGTACTCGGTAAGATGGACATCAGCATATATCAGCATGAAGGCGCGGCATGTAATAGCCCAGGCCATTGGTACAAATGACAAGCAGAACGTGCCTACGAATGCTTGTGAAGAGAGCGGGCTCCACGACCAGCCCGACCACAGCGCGCTCCACGAAAAAGGTTTTGAGACTTTGCCTGCCCAGGTTCACCTGATAGCTGCATCGCAGGCTGGCCACAACTTTGCGTAGACCTATGTTCCGATGGCACTCGTGACAACTCTTCCCAGGAGGCCCAAGCCCCCACCGCAAACCGTATGGGCATCTTTGCGTCAACCGTCCCCGCGCGTCCCTTGTTCCTGGGTCTATCTGCCAAGCACCACCACCAGGCCTGCCCTCACACTGCGGTGTAGACAGCCACTGAGCCTGACCTGTCGGCCAGTCGACAACGAGGCAGAAGGGGGGAGGGGGGTGGGGAGGGATGGTGATGAGAAAGTGAGGGGAGAGGGGGCTGTGAGCTGGGGAGGGGGCGAGGTGGAGGAGGGCGCTATCTGGCATGAACTGCCGACCTGCCCAACCCTTGGCAACCTGCACTTCACCAACACGGGCACTTCCAGGCAGTCCGCCCGTGCGGTGCGAAATGGAGCAACCTGCGCGTCATAGGCTGAACGTCTCATCCTCCCATCTCCCGTCTCGTCGTCGTCGTCGTCGTCGTCCTCCTCCTCCTCCTCCTCAATCCTCCTCCTCCTCCTCCTTCTCCTCCTCCTCCTCCTCCTCCTCCTCCTCCTCCTCCTCCCTCCTCGAACTCATCTCCACCTCCACCTCCTCCTCCTCATCATATTCGTCCGTCTCCTCCACTTCCTCCTCGTCGTCCTCCTCTCATCCTCCTCACCTCCTCATCCTCCGCCACTTCCTCTTCCTACTCGTCCCTTCCATACATTCCTCCATTCTATACGCTCCATTTCCCTAAAGTTAGACACTTCGGGGGCCCGAAGCGTGGCTGGGTGCGCGCAAGGAGGGAGGGAGGGGTGTAGAACCAGGAAGAGGTGGAAGGCAGATGAGGAACATGAGGAAGAGGACAAAAGAAAAAAAACGGAAGGCACAACCAATTTGCCAAGCCTCCGCTGGACCTCGCGTGGGTACGCCTCAAGGCACCCGACTAGATCAAACGGTAAAGGACATCGGTCACATGCGGTCACCAAACTTTGCGCTCCAGTGCGGCCCCCTGGATGTGCGACGCTCAAAAGTGACCCTAGGCAAGGGTGACCTTTCGTGCAAGGCTGGCCGATCGCTGCATGCGGTGCGACATCAGCGGCCTGCGTGCCTGGTTCTGCCCCGCCCGTAAGATTGACCAAACCGTGCCCGCGCACCTCCGCTTATTCCTCCTCTTTTCATCCTCCCCCTCAACGGAGACTCCAGTGGGTAACCCCCCGAGGTTGGGCGTCGCCGTTTCCCGTCTTCTCGGGGAGTGCACTGAGTCTTCGCAGGATCTTTCGTCGCCGTTTTTTCTGGGGTCCCTCGGCGTACTTTGGGGCGCATGATGCGGACCGCGGCTTGCTCGCGGGCCTCCTTGGGGCGCATGGCCTCATGGCGGGCGCCACCGAAGGCCCCGGTGTCAGGGTTCACATATGTCCCCTGGCAAAGTTGGGCACACGCAAACACGCACACATTACACGGTTCGTGGCCTCATAGGCAGATCCACCGAAAGCCTCAATAGCAGAGCTCACATGCGTTCCAAGTCCAGTTTTGGCACACCCCTCACACGGTGCGTGGGTTCATAGGAATCTTCAGGGAATTCCACCGAAGGCCCTTGTGACAGGGTTCGCATGCGTCCGGGTAAGTGTTTTGGCGTGTCGTCGCCGCTGTTTTGTTTGAAGAGGTTCATTGAAGATTTGCGTTTTGCTCGCCTTTTTTTGTTGGGGTGGGTTTGTGTGGGGCGAGTCACGTCGCCGTTTCTCGGTGACACGCGGTAACAGTGCAGGAATTACATGTTCTTCACTGGTCTCTCTGAGCGGATGGGTGATAGAATAATAAAAGGGATTAATATCTTTTCTCTACTTTTCGTATTCATACCTAGCCGATCCTAACCGTACCTTCTTCATGAAAATTGATTTCTCTTTCGATCATGGTGTTTACGTTGTTGTTTTCTTCTGCGGCAGTCTCGGATAATGGTTCTTCTGCGTGGGCGCCCTTCGAGGTATTTCCCAACCATCCTGTGGTGTCGGGTCCTCGTTTTGAAGAGATCCTCCTCCCCCTCCTCCCTCCTCCCATCCGCCTCGTCACCTCGCTGCGCTTCACCCACCCAGGACAGCGCTGCGCGGCCCTATAGGGAGCTCCACCGAAGGCTCCAGTGGCACAGGCCGCATGCGCCACCGCCACCCATCAGTAATGCTATTCTACTGGCGAAGCTTTTGACGACAAAACGTAATTCAAAAAAATAAACATTTAAACGCCAGGACAGCGCCTCGCGGCCCCATGGGGAGCGCCGTTGCGTTGGCAACCCACGGGCGCACACACGGACACGTGGCGCACACACACGGCTTTGTCAGCTCCCCCCTTCCCCCCCCGGCGCCTCCCGAGAGCCGCGCACCAGAGGTCCCTCCGGCGGAGGGCCACTCTTCAGGGGCCGATGCTGGGACACCGCTGACCCAAACCCACTGACTTCTCGCCTTGAACTCCTAGGGGACCACAAATAAGGAGCGAAAGAAGGACGTACATGTACATGAATCCACGCTGGTTTCGAGAGCACGCATTGCACAAATGTTCGTATCACGCGGCCGGTCTCGCGAATCGAGGGGCCGTGTTCATGTACATAGCTGGGCGCGTACGTCCTTGATGGGCTCCCTAACAAAACGGCATAAACAGAAACGTTTGGCGCTCCGCGCGGACTTCCTGGATCTTCTCTGGACCGTCGCTGGCGCGCGGAGCGCGCCAGGGGCGCTGCCGGGAGGTTGCCGCTGGGAGGGCCCAGCGCGGATCCAAGGAATCCGCGCGGAGCGCCAAAAGTTTCTCTTTGTGCCGCCTTTTTGTCTTCGAATTCCGCTGCCTGCCGCCGGCCATCCGCCGCCGGCCGGGGGGACAAAGATGTACTTTTAGGTCAAAAAAAGAAAAGTCAAAAAATAATCAAACATGGCAATACCAATCATCGAAAAATCGTCCCCGGACTATTTTTTTATATACTGTTTTTGCATTCTCCTCCCGTGGAGGGGCAGGCACGACTTAAAATGTACCTGCCCATGCCGCGAGCGGACCGCGAGCGAGGGCCGAGGGCCCCCTCATTGTGGGCTGCGGGACCCTCGGCCTGCCTCCCCCCCCCCGGGGGGGGCATCCTCAGGAGCCCCCCTTCTCGCCGCAGAGGTTGAGCCGGGGGCGAGGACAGCGGATGAGGGGGCCCACCAATCCAAGGATCCCCCATCTTTTCCGATATTTCCCGGGTGTTCGTCTTCCCCCCCCCCACTTCTCACATTTTCCAACACTTTCCTGGGAATCGACGATGAATTGTGTCTGTGCGTGTTTTTGTCCCCTCCTGAGCGGAACAGCAGCAACCACGGCAGCACAAGCAGCAAAAACAGCATGGGCATAAGCGTCCCGAGGTCGTGGCGGATTCCTCGGTTCGGCGCTGGACCCCCGCGCCTGGCGCGCGGAGCGCGCCAGGGAGCGGCGCCAGGGTGTCGGGCGCAGGCCCAAGAAATCCGCGCGGGCCTCCGAACGTATGCTTACGCAAGTGGAGGGGCAACGATAGGGGGGGAAAGGCATAGGGGGGAAACAGCGACCTGGACTCGGCGATGCATCGCCGACAGAACGGCGATAGGCCCCCGACAGCAAATCCGCACCTCCCTGGGCAGGTGGGGGCTCTCGGGCCCCCATGGGCGATCCATGGGCGATTGGAGGGGCGATGGGGGTCGATGCCTCCCCCCCTATGCCTATTCCCCCCTATCGTTGCCCCTGAGAACTGCTCTTCGTCGGGAGGATGTCCAGAGGCCACAGCAGGAGAGCCCAGAATCGAATCGGCAGGTCGGATCGGCGATCGAAATGGATCGGATCGGCGGAAATTGGCAGCCGAGTCGGGAAAAGTCGAATCGGCGGAAACCAGCAGGCAAGAGGCCTCCAGTGAGAAATCGGAACCCGAATCGGAATCCTACATCGAATCGAATCGGAATCGGAACCCCTCGAAATCGAATCGAATAGAATCGGCGGCGTCGAAATGAGCACTGCACAGGGGGGCGGCTGGGTCAAGGCCACCATCCTGCAGGGCAGCGGGATTGCGGCCGGCGGCGAAAGCTCAAGATCACAAATCAGGAAGAGGACGGGGACGACCAGGACGAGGAGGAGGAGGACGACGACGACGAGGAGGCTGGAGGAGGGCGAGGAGGAGGGGGAGGACCAGGAGGAGGACGACGAGGATGACGAGGAGAAGGGCGGAGGAGGAGCGGGAGGAGGACGACGGCGGCGTCGACGAGGGCGCGGAGGGCGGGCAGGCAGGCGGCCTCGTCGTCGCCCTCCGGGGCGCCGCCCCCCCCGGCGGCGTACTCCTGCCACGCCCGGGGGCCGGGGGCGCCCGCCGCCGGTGCTTTGACCCCTCGTGGCGGCGCGCGCAGCAGGGGGGGGCAGAGTACGAGACCGATGTTGCATCACAGCAGCAATTCGGCCTCTGACTTTCGTCCTGGGCTCGGTTTAGTGAAGTGATGAATTTCGGGGTCCTTACGTGGGGTAAAAACATCACTTCACTAATCTGGGGCCCCTGGGGCCTCAGTGGGCCCTGGGGCCCCAAATTAGTGACGTGATGGTTTTCGGGCTTCGGACAGAGGGAGGGGGGAGGGCTTCTCGGGAGGCGGCTTCTGAGAAGGCGCCAGCCTCACATCTGCGCCGCGCGCGCTGCCCTCCCTCTTGGCAGGGCGCGCGGGGGGGTGGAGGGAGGGGGAGGGCCTCTTTGGAAGAGGCGGCTGCTTGGGAGGCGCCAGCCTTGCGTCTGCAGAGGAGGCGCGCGCCTTCTCAGGAGCAGGGGTGCTTCTCAGAAGCCTTCCCCCTCGCCATGCCCCCCTCTGCGCGTGGCCGACCCCTCTTGAAGGACTCTCTCTCTCTCTCTCTCTCTCTCAGATCCAAGCGACGCCAAAAAAATCGTGGTGGCCAAATGTTCGTCGTTCGCGGCCTCTGGACCGACACGTGCTCGCCTCGTGATGCATCGTAGACGAAAAAACAACATGGCGGGAGCCTCTTTCGGCCTCCAGGGGCCCTCGCTGGGCCCCAGGACCATCAAAACCTACTCGGCATGAAGAACCGGCCCTGGGGAGCCGGTCGGGACTTCTGGAGACCCGGCATTCACAAAGCAAGACATCGGATGTCTGGTCGGGGTCGTTTCCCGACCCGGGATCATCGACAAACAACGCAAGATGAACCAAAAGGCGGCCCCGGGGAAGTGGTCGAGGCCCCAGGGCCGACGTCACGAAAAAGTTAACAGCGTCGGACTGAAGATGACCCACGGAAGGCGCGAATGTCTGGGACAGCTTACGCAAATGCATGGACCAACGACGCTCCAGTACAGTAATCGACTCGCGTTCGCCATGGTCCTGCTGCAACTCGACAGGCCCCACCTGGTCCAAAGGGCCTGACGACATATACGCCTGACAAGCCTTCGGCACAGGAGACTCAATCGAACGCTGATGCATAGATCTCAAAACCATCCTGGCGTCGTGCTGCTACCTCAGCTCTTTCGGATCGACGCCTTCTGCTAGCCCTGGCTGCTATGATGGCCTGTCTGAGATCCGATATCTTCATGTGAGCGTTTTCTGAGTCGGCGTTTCGACAATGGGCGGAAGGGGGGGGAGGGGAGGGGTCTGGCTCCGGACCTCTGCTTAGTGCGACTGTCTGCAAGAGTGCGTCCGATGGGGGAGAACTCACCTGCTGAAACAGGCGCCCAAAACAGCCAAGATCCACTCCACAAAGGGTGTGGGGAGGGGGTGTGCGAGGGCCCGCGCCGATCGGCAATACAATGAATAAGAAAACGATAACCTTCATGATGTCCCTCCTGCGCTGCCTCGGTTCGAGTGGCCTTTCGGTCCATGTCCGTGCGCCTTGTGGGTCCGGGTGTCCCGAGCACTCTGGCAAGCAAGCAGGACCATCATCCTGTCAGGAGGCTCGAAGCCGAGGCGGTCTCACCAAGCACTTGCAGCTCCCCTCGCGTGCTGAATGTTGCCCTCGCGCCTCGAGGATCGAGGAGGGTTGTGGACGGTTTCTGGGCGATGTTGCCTGCGTGTGCCCGTGGGGCTATGCGAACCGTGGAGACTTCCAAGAATGGCCGCACGCGCGCGCACATGTTAAAATCCGACAACACGCAAGAGTGTTGCAACCACACCAGCATAACAACATCAAACGCCCCCAGGTGTTCCATCACAAGTCTTGCAAATGTTCTGCCCGCGCGCATTTACTGAAGCCATTTGGGGCACCACATGATTTTAGCAATCTCGCCCAGAACCCACATTCTCGTCCCACCACGCGGTGCAACCGTGCTGATCCAGCATGCGCCCAGTACACGAACCCGTATCGAACAACACAATGCGAGCCACACGCGGACGCCTCCACGCGAGCGTGCCGAACTTCGTCCAAAACCACTGGTCTTCGAAGCAATGCAGTATAAAGCTCTTCAACAGGGTCTGAAAAGTACTTGTTCGTTTCAAAAGACGCCTTACCAAGGTTCTTGAAATTCCGTGCGAGCGCATTTCCTCACCATCATCCTGTTCAGCGCCGCTGCATCACGTCATTGTCATCGTCAACCGCCGTAAGTGCCATCATCATCACTCAAACACCTTCGTCGTCGACACATGGACATCATCACCGCCATCGGCGTTAGCAGCATCGCTGTCGTCATTGGCCTTGCCGTCGTCATCATCATCATCATCATCATCATCATCATCATCATCATCATCATCATCATCATCATCAGCATCATCATCATCATCATCATCCTCATCATCCTCATCATCGCCACCACCATCGCTACTATCATCGTCGTTGCCGCCGTTGTCGAGGTTGATACTGCGCCCGCCCGAGCCACCGACCCGCATAGAAGGGCCCGCGCGCCAGCACGACCTTTGACGCGCGCTGGGGCGCTGCCGTCGGTAAGCGCCATCGCGGCCACATTGGTTGTGCAAAACCAGCTGGCCGTTCTGAGCGCGAGGTCGCAGAGATGTGCCAGCCATGGAAAACCAGCCCTCACACGACGCATGAGAGCGTGCCACATGTTACGGCGCTCCCAAGCCTCGGGGCACGAGGCGGCGCACGCTACAGCTTCCAGTGCGCCCTTCGAACAATCGCCACCCAGAGTGCTGCGCTGGCCCTGTTGCGGGACTTTGCCGCAGGCAGCTGAAGAACTGTCGAGACTCCCCACCTACAATCCGAATTCACTGCCTCATCGGACGATCACTACTGAGATACCACGCGGGGCGCGGGAACTCGTTTGTGAATGATTCTCTCCACGGTCTCTTGTCCTCATGGTTTCGTGTAGACTGTCATCTTGCCGACGAGCTCACCGCGCTGGGCTCATTTTCCGTGGAGGCGCCAACACCAGAGGTCTACGCGGCCTGCTGCTTGCCCGCTTTCCAGATTCCGCGCTTCTCTGCACCGGCGAGATCTGTCAGGACGCCGGCCCCGTCCTGCGCAGCAGAGACGATGACGAAGACGACGACGACGTCGTCGACGACGACGACGACGGCGACGACGAGCAGCACTCTTGAGTCGGCGCTGGCCCTCCCTCCCCCTCGGTGCGCGGAGCGCGCCAAGGGCGGCGCCCGCGGCGCCGCGAAGGGGCGTCCAGCGCCGACCGCTGAGAGCCGCGCGGACCTCCTAAAGTCTGTGTCTGTTCCGCTTCTCTCGAGGAGGGGGTGGCCTGCAGAACTCACTGACCCCAAACTTGATTTTCGCAGCTGGTCGTACGAAGCACGTTGGCAGATCTGCGAAGGTTCCACACAAAAGGTTCTCCTGGATTCGAGGGAAACAACCATGCTGGGGGGAATCAATTCTGTGGCCGATCCCCTACTCGACTCTTGTCCCTCGAGTCCTGCCTGCCCTGGACCCACTGGCCGCTGTAGACCCGGCCGTCGGGCCAGAAGAACTTCCCCTCTCGGCAGGATCAGCAAGAGGCCTCTTAGCTGGGGTCCGAGCAGATGGGGTCGAAGGATAGCGCCGCATCGCCGATACATCGGCGTTGTATCAGCGATGCATCGGCGATGCACCAGCGATGCATCGTCGACGTCGGCGATGCATCGACCACGTCGGCGTGAAGCAAATCGGGCTCCACATCGAGCCGTATCGGCGATGCACGGGCGATGCGGCACGATCCTCCGACCCCCTCTACTCCGACACTATTAGAATCTAGGAGGCCTAGATCCACCAGCATCGAACTGGGACATCGGATCGAACCTGACTCCACGTAGGCACGCCCTGCACTGGCATGGAGTCGGGATCGAGTCGGACCGACCCCGCCAGAATGCACAGCGGCCCCGTGCAGACTCGGGAGCGGCCAAGAGGGGGGTGTCCAAGAGGGGGGGGTGCAAATCATGACCGGCGGCATGTGCGCGGCCCAGCGGGGGGGCCAGGGACGTAATGAAATAAGAAGGGGCGCCATGAAATCTGGGGAAATATCATGGCCCACGCCATGATATCCCCCCCCCCTAGTCATCACCCCCCTCTTTTCCGCCCCCGACAGACGACGGGCCACACGGGACCGCCAGGATATGCCGGAATCGAATCGGAGCGAGCCGGCCAGGATCGGCATGGATCTCGGAGGAGGGCGGGATGAGACGACGGCGGCTCTTGCAGGGGGGAAACAAGCCTGCCTCGCCTTTGACCACCCTCGCTTCCAAGAGATACCAAACGATGCCAAAGTGCAGCCTGTACTGGTCAGGCCGCTTGACGAGGAGGCGCGTGGTACGGCTTGGTTTTTGCTGGAAGCGAAAGCGGGGTAGGTAATTCACGCTCTGATGCGCGCAGAGGGTGGTAGGGGGAAGGAGGTAGGCTTCTCAGAAGCAGGGGTGCTTCTAAGAAGCCCTCCCCCCTTCCACTACCCCTCTGCGCGTTCGGGGATCCACTGACCCGGGTCAATCCAAGCCCCGGTCAGTCAGGCCATGTGGGATCCGGCATGATCCTGCAGGGTCCTGCAGGATCCTGCGGGGTCCTACACCCAAGCCCGGGTCAGTGCAGCACTGGCCCTGCAGGATCCTGCAAGACCCGGCGCTCTGGCTGACCCCCGTTTGCATTGACCCCCCGTCTCTTGAGCCCCGACGCGTGCCAAGGGGCATTGGGCCGGCGGAGCCGCTGGGCCGCGCCGCGGCAGCCGCCAGCGGCGGCGCGTGCGCCGCCCTCGGCGCCATTCGGCCCCAGACGCGTCGAGTCGGGGGTCGACTACAGAACCGACGTGCCCCCCCCCTTCCCAGACCCCCGACGTCGTGGCTTTTGCGCAACGTCGGCCCCCAGAGGTCCGGACCCCTTCCCCGGACCGGTTTCTCGTCCCGAGCCGTTTCCTTTTGGACGGCCCCGAGGCCCGGGGAGGGCCCCGTCGAGGCCGAAGATCGCGAAGAGCCCCCCGTCATCGTGCTCTGTTTTCGCAGCGCGAGGGGGGGCCTGGGCTCTGCATGGCACCCCCGCCTCGAGGCCCCCGACGCGTGCCTGCGCTCCGCCGCCGGCCCGGAGCCGCTCCACAGCTCGGTCTCTGGGGCTGCACGGCTTCCCCGGGGCCGTAGGCGACCCGAGGAGGAGGAGGAGGAGGAGGAGGAGGAGGAGGAGGAGGAGGAGGAGGAGGAGGAGGAGGAGGCGGAGGAGGGGGAGGAGGAGGAGGGGAGGGAGGAGGAGGAGGAGGAGGCAGGCGGAGGGGAGGAGGAGGAGGAGGAGGAGGAGGAGGTAGGGAGGAGGGGAGAGAGAGGAGAGGAGAAGGAGGAAGAGGAGGAGAAGAAGGAGGAGGAGGAGGGGAGGAGGGGGAGGGAGTGAGGAGGAGGAGGAGAGAGGAGGAGGGGTGGAGGAGGAGAAGAAGGAGGAGGAGAAAAAGGAGGAGGAGGAGGAGGAGGAGGAGGCGAGAGGGGAGAGGGAGGAGGCGAGGAGGATGGAGGAGGAAGGAGTGGAGGAGGAGGAGGAGGAGGAGGAGGAGGAGGAGGAGGAGGAGGAGGAGAAGGGGAGAGGTGAGAGAGAGGAGAGAGGAGGAGGTAGAGGAAGGGAGAGGAGGGAGGAGAGATGAGGAGGAGGAGATGAGGAGGAGGAGGAGGAGGAGGAGAGGAGGTGGAGGAGGAGGAGGAAGGGAGGTGGAGAAGGAGGAGAAAAAGGAGGAGGAGAAGAGGAGGAGGAGGAGGAGGAGGAGGAGGAGAGGAGGAGGAGGACGGGGAGGAGGAGGAGCGGGAGGAGGAGGAGGAGGGGGAAGGAGGAGGAGGAGGAGGAGGCGGCGGAGGAGGAGGAGGAGAAGGAGGAGGAGGAGGAGGAGAGGAGGAGGGGAGCAGGAGGAGGAGAGGAGGAGGAGAGGAGGGGAAGGAGGGGAAGGAGGAGGAGGAGAGGAGGAGGATAGGGGAGGAGGAGGGGGAGGGAGGGGAGGGGAGGAGGAGGAGGAGGGAGGAAAAGGAAGAGGAGGAGGAGGACGGGTCGGCTAAGCCCTTCGGAGAAACCCTCCATCTGGGGCGCCTCCCTGGGCTCTGCGTGGCACCCCCGCCTCGAGGCCCCCGACGCGTGCCTGCGCTCCGCCGCCGGCCCGGAGCCGCTCCACAGCTCGGTCTCTGGGGCTGCACGGCTTCCCCGGGGCCGTAGGCGACCCGAGGAGGAGGAGGAGGAGGAGGAGGAGGAGGAGGAGGAGGAGGAGGAGGAGGAGGAGGAGGGAGGAGGAGGAGGAGGAGGAGGAGGAGGAGGAGGAGGCGGAGAGGAGGAGGAGGAGGAGGGGGAGGGGAGGAGGAGGGAGGGAGGAGGAGGAGGGGGAGGAGGGGAGGAGGAGGAGGAGGAGGAGGGGGAGGGGGAGATGAGGAGAGGTGGAGGAGGGAGGAGGAGGAGGAGGGGGGGGGAGGAGGGGGCGGGAGGAGGCGGAGGAGGAGGTGAAGAGGAGGAGGAAGGAGGAGGAGGAGGAGGCGGGGGAGGGGGCTAGGGGGAGGAGGAGGAGGGAGGAGGAGGAGGAGGGGAGGGGAGGGCGAGGAGGAGGGAAGGAGGAGGAGGGAGGAGGAGGAGGGGGATGGGGAGGGGAGGAAGGAGGGGAGAAGGAGGCGGAGGAGGAAAGTGAGGAGAGGGAGGAGGAGGAGGAGGAGGAGGAGGGGGGGGGGGATAGGGGGAGGAGGAGGGGAAGGGGGAGGGGGAGGGGGAGAGGGAGGAGGAGGAAGAGGAAGAGGAGGAGAAGGAGGAGGAGGAGTAGGAGGAGGACGGGTCGGCTAAGCCCCTCGGAGAGACCCTCCATCTGGGGCCCCTCCCAGGGCCCCCCGTCCGCGCGGCGCGCGCCCCTCCGCGGCGACGAGAGGCCTCCGGGAGGAGGCCTGACGAGGACGAGCCGCGCCGGGGGGCGGCCGCCGCCGCCTCGACTGGCCCTGCTCCGAGCATCGTGCAGATCGATCGGATCGCCAGCATTGAGACGAAGCCAGGTGGGCGCTTTTGGTTTGCCCCCTCGCGGGTAGCGGTCGAAAACCAGGGGGGGGGCGGTCACATATAGTGTGTGCATGCAAACATAATATGTTCATGGGCATGCCCATTTTTTCACCATTCATAATATGGACGCCCGAACCCCCCCGGGGGAGCCGGCGGGAGGGCAACGGTAACGGCGGCCGCGGCGCGCACCTGCCAGGGTAAATTCGGGTAAGGATAGATCGAGAATCTCGGAGATCCCGCGGGCTGGAGGATGTCTCGGGTGCCGCGGCCTTCTCAGAGCGTGCTGGAAAGCTCTGAGAGCGTTCCGGGACGCCCTGGAATCTGGAACGGATTTATCCTCGTCCTAGCCCCGCCCGAAATTGGCCCTGGCTTTCGTCGGGGATCTACGGGCCCGGGTCAATCCAAACCCGGGTCAGTCAGGCTTCGCAGGATCCTGCAGGAACATGCACGCAAGCCCGGGTCAGTGCACCCCTGGCCCTGCAAGATCCTGCAAGATCCAGCGCTCTGACTGGCCCCCGTTTGCAATGACCTCCGTCTCAAGGCCCACGATCCGGGTCGCAGCTCAAGCCTCTGGCGGTCGGCCGGGACGACGTTGGACACCCCGGGAACGCCCTCGACAAGGCGCAGCCGCTGGCGCGTATCCCGCTGAGACAAGAGAACCTTCAGGAGGCGTCGCCAAACACTCACGAACCTCCGCCCGAACCTCGATCCTCGAGCCTCTTCGGAGAGGGCGGGCCCCGCCTCTCCGCTCTTCAGGTCGTCCGCGTACCCCCCGACGTACCTCGAGCCGTCGGGCCACACCGCGCGGCCGTGCCCAGACATCCGGCCGCCCCGCCACTGCCCGCTCAGCTGGCAGCCGTCCGCCGCCAGGTAGCGGCCCTCTCCCTCCATGGCCGAGGGGGGCCGAAAGGCCGAGACGTGCTGCGCACGGCAGAAAAACACCCCCCCTCGGAATCAGACGAGCTGCAACCCCCCTCGGAATCAGACGCAGGTCTTTCTACAGCACCCCGTCGGCCCCGAATTGCAACGCTGACAGGGCGCGCGCGCAGCGCGCCCCGCGGGGGCAGCAACAAAAATTGCAGTCGCCAGTTTCGGCGTCGACATTGAAATTGGGGGCCCAGGGGCGTCGCCGCGTTGTTGGAAAAACTTGCGTTTGATTTCGAGGGGTGATGTGCGACCAAAAAAAACATCACGTAAGAAATCAGGGTCGGCATCCCAGAAGCTTCTTCAGACAAGCCCGGGCCAGGTTCGGTGGGTCAGGCTTAGGGGGCCACCAGCGAACCCTACCCCTACACCCCACGATTTCTGAGAGGGGAGGGTGGGGTTCACTTCGTTCGGGAGCTCCCGAGCGAAGTGAACCCCACCCTCCCTCAAGAAACCCCCTCAAGAACACCCCTCAAACACCAAGAACATGAGGGTGCCCTCCCCGAACCGACCTCGATCGTATGCCTCGGTCCGACCGTAGTGGACACTCCCCCTCCCCCCAAGTTCAAGGTTGGCACGCGCGGGGAAGAGTGCGGTCGAAGCGCAGCGCATCAGAGCCACGGCCAAAGCTTTGATCATTGGGGGGAGGGGGGGGCCATTAACAGATGAATCCATGGCATGAGTGGCTAATCTTTCCGAGACCTGTAGAACCTCCAATATTGTTTTCTCGGTCGCGGCGCTTTTCCTAAGCTTCGGCTCCTGGGAGCCGTCTTCGGCCCCAGGGGCCGTCAAAAATTGATCAGCCCTGACTCTGGATCCGCCGTACTTTGGTTGGTTGTCCGACTTACGATTGTGTCGGAAATGCCCTCAACACGATGCGACAAGGTGGGGCGGAAATGAAATGCCCGCCTAACCAATTAGGGCGGATATTTCCGCAAAGGTATGGCGGAAACAGCGGGCGGAAATCGGCATCAGTGGAACTTGAACATGACAGGGCGGAAATGTCCGCCCGACTTGCTAAATCTCCCAAAAAAATACCACGGAGCTGGAGCCCGAGCAGGGCAAGCAGCTGTCCCCAGGGAGTTGTCGGGAGGCCCGGGGGGCCCGGGGGAACCGAAGAGCAGCACTCCGGGGGGCTGACCTCCTGAATCTCCAGGTGAGCACATACGTGCACAAGCACAGTCAAGATCGGGAGCCGCTGCTCATCGTGTGTCGCGTCGGCGACCTCGGCGACACGAGGTGCCTTGCAAGTGGATAGCGCATCGCTCCGCTCCGCGGACGCAAACAGAGGCTGGGAGAGGCTCGGGAGGTCGACGCGGGGAGACCGGGAAGTGACCAGCCTCTCTCGAGAGGCCTCCTGGATGTGGTCCGAGTAGACGGGGCCGAAGGATCGCCGATGCATCGCCGATGCATCGCCGAGGCAGCGGCGATGCATCGGCGATGCATCGGCGATGCATCGGCGTGGGGGAGCACGGGCTCCACATCGAGCCGCAATCGCCCACGCATCGGCTGCGCGGTGCGATCCCCCGACCCCATCTGCTGCGACCCCATCTGGGAGGCCCACCCTGACTCCAAATCCGCCCTACTTTGGCTTGTTTCCCAACTTGAAATTGCGTCGGAAATCCACGTATAAGAAGCCGAAAAAGTAGGGCGGAAATTTCTGCACCCAACATAAAATACGGCGAAAATCCACAGAAGTAAGGCGGAAACAACAACAGAAAAGTAGGGCGGAAATTGGCATCAGCGGAGCTTGAAAAGTAAGGCGGAAATTCCAAGCCCTACTTACGAATTTCCCCAAAGTAGGGCGGATCCGGAGCCAGGGCAGACCTTTGTGGGCCCCGGAAACGGCAGGGCCGTTTTTTCACCGTTTCCAAAAGAGTGCCCCTTAAAAATGGGAACGGCAAAAAAAAAACGGCGACCGGCAACGGCAACAAAAACAGCTCCAGGATTGGAACCGGAGCCGGAACTGGTCAAAAAACGGCGACGGAGCCGGTAAAAAAACGGCGTCGGAACCGGCAACAAAAACAGCAAAACGGAACCGGCAACAAAAACGGCCCTGTCGTTTCCAGGGCCCACTAAGGCCCAGACCTGTCGCTCCGGCGTGCGGTGGGCCAGGAGTCCGGCGGAGGGGCACGCCGACCAGGCGATCCCGACCGCAGAGTCTCTCGGAGGTCCGCGTGGACTTCTTGGATCGGCCCTGGACCCTCTGGCGGCGCCTCTGGCGCGCTCCGCGGCAGGATAGGGGGATGTCCAGCGCCGATCCAAGACCTTCTGTTCGTGCAGTCTCGTCTCCCTCGAGCCGCGGCGCTTTTCCTCAGTCTCGGCTCCCAGAAGCAAGCGTTCGGCAGCACAGTCGAGCACTAATCCTGGACGAAACGACTGTGCCTGGGCACGGTAGGTGTAAAGGGGCCCTGGGACACACAAATCAATAGACACAAATCCCAAGATTCCCAATATTTTCCTATGTTTTCTTGGCTTTCGTCTCCCCCACCACTTCCCGTATTTTCCCATATTTTCCTGGGAGTCGCCTGGGAGTCGACGATTATTTGTGTCTGTGGTTTTTCTCCTCCTGAAGGTGGTTGGGAGCGCTGGGGCCGCGGACAGGAAACGAGGGGCCAGACCCACCCCGAGGGACGCTGGACACCCCCCCGTGGAACGCTGGACACCCCCCCGTGGGACGCCAGACACCCGCGCGTGGGAGGCTGGACCCCCCCCCCTGTGGGGCCCGCCGGACTGCCCCCCTGTCGGCGCCCCTCCATGGCGTCGTTCTTGAACTGCCCGTCGTACGTGGCGAGCGCGCCCCCGTTGCGAGAGCCCGTGGAGTCCGCCACCGTGCCGCGGGGCACTGGAGTGGAGTGCCCCCCCATGGCACCTCCGAGTTCTCCGTGCTGAGCGCGTGATTCTCTTCTGGGGGTCCAAGCCCCCAACTGACCCATATTTCGGGGTGTACCGAAGGCCTCGGAAGCGTGGCTCGGGACACGGACACGCGCTCCTGGCGTGCTCTGAGATGGTCCTCTTGGAGCTCGCCCTGCAGCCCTCTTGGTGCTGTCTCAGCCCGTCTTGGAAGCACTCGGGGCCAGCCCAATAAGCAAACTCGCTCAACATCACCTGAACGTCTTTGCACGGTGCTCTACATTTCATAAGGAACGAGAGGGGGTCACAACCTTCCCAGACGAGCAAATCTAAACCCCCCGCAGACCAGCCATGAAAGGGCGGCCCTTTGCCAAGACCTCCCGGGACCCTCCAAGGCAGATCAAATCTGACACCCACTCCAGATCAGACCACCCCCCTGGGTGAGATCCGGATGTATCCGCCAACGTGCCCCGAGGCACGAATGGAAGTGTCCTCGGGTCCCTCGAGTCCTCCGTCCTCGGGAACCATCAGGCGGCCCAGACCCCAAGCGGCCAGATGTCCCGCGGCCTCCGCGCACGCCGGGGCGTGCCCCCGCAGGATGCTGTTCTGAGCCGAGGCGGCCCAACAGTGGGCCAAAGGGGGCCCACGAGGCGCCCAAGACGGTCCGAGAGGGCCCTGGGCTGGCCCAGGGGGCGCTCCAAGATGCCCAAGATGGCCGCGCGGCGGCCCAAGAGGCCTCCAGGAGACGTTCCAAGAGGCCACGAGAGCCCTCCCAAGAGGGTCGAAAGTCATCGGCGCTGCTTCATTTGCTTTTGAACGAGTTTAGCCTTCTCGCCTTTTCGGGATCCCGACGCTCCAGGACGGCCCAAGAAGGCCCCCAAGATCGCCCCAAGAAGTCCCAAAGAGGCCCCCAAGACGGCCCAAGAGGTCCCTCCCCCAACCTGCCAGGATAGGGAGGGGAAAAACACACAGACACAACCAATCGTCGATTTTTAAGAAAATATGGAAAACATCGGAGGTGGGGGGAAGACAGAAACCCAGAAAATATAGGAAAATGTTGGGAATCCTGTTATGTATGTCTATTTATTTGTGTCCCAGGGCCCCTTCACAGGAGAGGCCCCAAGAGAGGGAAGACGAACCCGCACCTCGAGCCCTCCGCCCCAAGACGACCCCCGAGACCGCCAGCAGTCAATCAAGGGGCTCCCCAAAGCCCCAGGAGGCCCCCAAGAGGCCCAAACCAGGCCCCAGGAGGCGCCACAGAGGCTGCCGAGAGGCCTCTCGAGAGACACCTGCAGACATCCACACGAGGCCCCTGACATACAACAACCTGGGCACGATGACGGGATGGGCCGAAGGCCACTCGACCCTCTCTCGGCACGGGGACGGAACACGCAACTTACTCTGTGATGGCGCAAGGTCGCTGGCTTGTCCGCGTGCCCCTTGAGGTCATCTCGGGGGCCCTCCTTGGAGCCCTCTTGGGGCTTCTTGGAGTCTTGCGCGCCGTCTGGATGGGCAATCTTGGATGAAAGGGCCCTGGGACACACACACACATAGGTGGACACAAATGACCGGATCCCCTATACTTTCCCACAGTTTCTGGGTGTCTGCCTTCCCCCCCCCCCGCTTCCCATATTTTCCCATCTTTCCGGAGAAATCGACGATTACCTAATTGTGTCTGCGTGTTTTTTCCCCTCCTGATTGGAGCGCTTCTGGACCGCCTCGGCGCCCCTCGGACCCTTCGGGAGCCGCCATGGCAACCGTCTCGGACCGCCGTGAGTCCTCTTGGAGACCGTCTTGCATCCACATTGGGGCTCTCGTGGGCCGTGTTGGTGGGCTGTGCTGGGCCGTCTGGATGCCTGTCAAGGGCGATCCAGAGGCGATGCTGGGAACATCTCGCTCTTGTTGTGAGGGTGTCCCTGGCGATGTGGCCATCATCGGCAGGACCGAGACCAAGACAGCGTCGACAGCATCCCAGTGTTGTGAGGATCTCCCTGGCGAAGTGGACATCATCGGCAAGACCGAGACCAAGATGACGTCGACAACATCTCAGTGTTGTGAAGATGTCCCTAGCGAAGTCGCCATTATCAGCAAGACCGAGACCAAGACGACGTCGACAACCTCCCAATGTTGTGAGGATGTCCCCAGCGAGAACGCCGCTTTGGACAAGAACGGTGTCGGCAGCATCCCATTCATGTGAGGATGCCACTGGCGAGTCGTCATTTTTTGGGCGGACGTAGGACGTGACGGAGCCATCCTGTGGAGATATGTTTGGCGGTGGTGAGGCCTTCCAAGAGCGACCCCAACACATCCCATTTTCGTGGGCGCGCAAACATGGATTAGCAATCCATGGACCTCCTCCTCCTCCACGCCCCCTTGATCCATCTTTGCGATCGCCTGACAATTATGCGGAACACGTCTCGGATGACACCGCCATTTTGGTGAGTACCCCCCCCCCGCCCCCCCTGGGCCTCCACCTGCTGACCCCCCCTCCCTCGAACCCGCCCCAGTTTTCTAATTCGTCCGACCAACGGATCGCACGCTCTTCTCAGGTCGGGCACGTCCTCCTACAGGCGGATTCTGGAGGAAAATGGAACAAAAACAAACAACAAATCAACAAGAATCGACAACACTAGAAACATCGTCCCCATACTATTTTGTCACTATTTTTAAAGATTCCTCCTGTAGAGGGACACGCCCGACTTAAGCTTACTTCATCCGTGCCCCTCCGCCGCCTGCCAACCCCCTCGAACACCCTGTTGCTGTCTTTCTTCCGGCCGACGGATCGCACTCTACACGCGAGTTTCCGTCATCCGCCGCCCCCTATGGCTTGCCACGGGGGTGCACGGCGTGCCAGATTCGAGGTAGTCATGGGTCCTTTCTAACAATTCCGCAAGGGCCGTCGGCCTCATGCACCGGCCACCCGGTGAGGCGCACAAGGCGGGGAAAGACCGGGAAATTCGCATCCAAGACAGCCAACACATCGGCGTTCCGAAAGGTTCGTGATAAAATGAAATGTGATCATCGTGCACTGGCAGGGGCAAAATCCCGCACGGTGGAATTTCAAATCCCGAGTGACTTCACACTGTGATCTCAAAGCACGCGAGCGCCTTCGATCTGCCGCCCGCGTAGCCTGCGGGGTACGTGGTGTGCTCCCCGTCGCAGCTTGCCCAACCCGCAGGACCCGCAGAAAGACATCAACATCCCAAACACCCACTTCCAGGACGCCCAAGTTGGCACAAGATAGAATCCTAGATGAACCCACGATGCTCCCAAGTCGGACAAGATGGCCCCAAGAGAGCCCAAGATGGCCCCAACACAGTACGGCCTCAAGACGGTCGGAGAGGCCCCCGAGACGCCCCAAGCGGGCTCCAAAAGGAACCACAGGACGACCACAGGAAGCCAACATCACTTGAGTCCAGATGTGTTTCAGCGGTTGTCGCGTTCTGGTTGTTTCGGGCCTCCGACAACCCAAGATAAGTCCAGAGGTCCCCAAGACAGCCCAACAGGCCCCCAAGACTGCCCAAGGGGGCTCCAAGGCGGCCCGGGGATGGCCAAGACGGCCCCCAGAGAGCCCCAAGCGGTCCCCAAAGACGGTCCCCGAGCGCGCCAGACAGCCCGAGAGCACCCTGAGACGGTCCAAGAGAGGAGGAGGAGGAGGAGGAGGAGGAGGAGGAGGAGGAGGAGGAGGAGGAGGAGGAGGAGGAGGAAGTGGCCCAAGAGAGCCACAAGAGGCCCTCGTGAAGGCCCTGACGGTCCCAAGAGGGCTCCAAGATGACCTCAGGGGGCACCTCAGCAGTGTTCATCCAGTGGCTTCGGGGGGCAAGCACTGAAATAAACATAAAAACTCTGAGGTTCGCGCGGATTCCTGGGATCGGCGCTGGGCCCCCCTGGCGGCGCCTTCGGCGCCGTCCGGGTCCAGCGCCGTTCCGAGAAATCCGCGCGGACCTCAGATTTCTTACGTTTCTGTCGTCGTTTGTTCCCCTATGGCTTTCCCAAGCGCCTCGGGAACACGCAGTCCACTAGCATGGCTGCGCCTTCGCGCGACATTTCACCACACAGGCGTCTGCGGCGGTGGTTCGCCAAGAGCGCGTCTTCCGTCCGCCGCTCCCCGTCGCCTGCCGGAGGTGTGCACGAAAGCCGGGTATTAGAACGCGTCTGGCCCCTCCACCAATGGTCTTCGCCCCGACCCGCCAGCAACCGTCAACGGCGAGCGAGGGAGGAAAGGAAGAAGGAGAAGGCCTTCTCAGAAGGCGGCAGGACTTCTCAGAAGCCCTCGCGCCTTCTGAGAAGTTTTCTCTGTCTGCGGGAAGGCTTGGGAAACTTCTCAGAAGGGTCGCCAAGACGGCCCAGGGTGGCCCCAAGATATCTCTCGAAACCATGTCTTCAAGATCGACGACCCTAAATGGCCCCGAGACGGCCCCAAACCGCCTCAAGGCGACTTCTGAAGCTTCCTAAGCGGCCGAGGGGCCTCCTGGAGCACCGTCAGAGGGCCCGAAGAGACCAAGATGGTTGAGTCGGTGCTTTGAAACATCTCGTCTTGGAGTCCCTTCGACGGCCCAGTGCGACACGATATGCCTCCGAGATGAGGGAGCAACGACGGCCCACGAGGGCCTCGGGATGGCTCAAGAGGCCACCCCCAGGGCGGACCGAGAGGGCGCCCGACACCCCACCACACGGGCGAACTTCCAGACCACGGGGCGGAGGCGATCCGCCAGAAGCGCGTGCGGCCCGCCGCCCCCGCAGCTGGCCAGGAGGGTGCCTGGCGCCTGTGGCCCGTCCAAACTCGCCATCGCTTGGACGTCCATTCCCTGTTTTTTTTTTTTGGTTTCGTGCGTGGTCTTTTCGCCATCAAGGATGCTCCTCGATGGTTCTCGCAAAGAAAAAATGCACACGTCCGAGCGATGCCAGGCCAAAAGGTTCATAGAGGCTGTCGGTCAGACCCGCCGGCCATCCCGATGACCGCCCACACGCGACACTCCTCTGGCTTTTCCACCCAAGATGGGCCCAGGAGAGTTTTTTGAGAGGGTTCCGGACGTCCTTCAAGACGCTTGCCAGGCGACCACGGTGGCCCCAGCATGGCCCCAAGAGGATCCAGAAGGCTCTGTTGTGGATCTCTTCGGCCACCTTGGGGGCTCCTGGGGGTCAGCCCGACAGGCATCATTCATAGAAGAACAAATATGTTGCACTGCCGAGCACAGCCAATGAAGGCCAAGCAATACCATGCAATGCCACGCAACTCTAAGACATGCCACGTAACGCGAAGCAATGCCAAACAATGCGAAACAATACCAAACCATGTAAAATAATTGTTCCAAGCAGCGCCAAGCGATGCCAAGCCAACAGCAAGCAATGGCAAGCAATGGCAAGCAATTGCAAACCGTGCCAGGCAATGCCGATCAATGCCAAACAATGCAAAGCACTGCCAAGCAATGCCAAGCAACGCTAAGCAATGTCAAGCAACGCCAAGCAATGCCAAGCAATGTCAATACAAGCAAGGCAACTCAATACCTTGCAATGCCTTGCAATGCCAAGCACTGCCGAACAAAGCCCAGGAAAGCCATTTAATGCCAAGCGATGCCACGCAATGGCAAGCAAAGCAAAGCAATGTCAAGCAATGTCAAACAAAGCCGAGCAATGCTACTAGCATTGCTCGGCTAGGTATTGCCAAGCAATGCCAAGCAACGCCAGGCAATGCAAACCAATGCCGAACAATGCCAAGCAATGTCAAAACAACGCCAAGCAATACCAAATAATGCCACAGAACGCTTTGCATTCACCAATGTGCGCTGATCAGAACTGCTTTGAATTGCTTCGGACGACAGAAAACCCCTCATTGGGGTCACTCCGGGTTCGTTTCAAGTGTGCCCAGGTTCACACAGTCCGCTTTTACGAGCATGCAGAGCGGCACACGGAGCCCCCTAAGGCCAGCCCAAGACGGCCCAGACAGGCCGCAAGAGGACCCCAGGCAAAGATGGCCCCAAGCCGGCCCAAGGCTGCCCAAGTGAGCCCAGTAAGCTCCCAAGACGGCTCCAAGAGGCCTCCAAGACGGCCCTGCCCCAAAACGGTCTGCGCAGGCGCCAAGCGCCCCAAGATCGCCCCAAGACGGCCCCATAGAGCCCCAAGATAACCCAAGAGGGCCCCGGGAGGCCCCCAAGGAAGGCCCGAACGGCAAGACACATAGCCCAAGATAGCCCCAGGCTGGCCCCAGAGGGCTATGGAGGGCCCCGTCCACATGTTCACCGAATGGCTTACCCAACAACTGAGGGCATACGCAGCCCGCTAGCGCGGCCGCACTTGCACCCGACGAGTCGCAGCACGGACATTTGCCAAAGAGCAGGAGGCGGCGGTAACTCGCCGTAGGCGTCTTCGATAGGTGCCCTCCCCGTGCTTGCAGTTTGCCATGTAGCTCCCCTCGTACCTCGCCTGGGAGGGGCGCCATCTGTGCACCGTCGCCGACCCTGGTGAGGTCCATCCTGGGCCGAGGGTCGATGCATGCGAACTCCTGACTTGGTCAAGAAGGCATCTACACCGACTCTGGGCCCCGGGCAGGACTGGCCAGGGTCGCTGTTGGTGTACAACTTGCCATCGCTTGGACGTGCATTCCCCGCGCACGTTTCGGTGGCGTGCGTGCATTTTGCGCCCCATGATCCAGGCTGCTCCCGGATGGTCCTCGCCGAGAAAAGAGGCATACGTCCGAGCGATGCCAAGATAAGTTGCGCCCTCCGATCACCCCGTCTGGCCACGATTCGATGCCTCGGCCACACTTTTCGTTGCACTTCCACTCGCCCTCGTAGGTGGTGCCGTCGACCTGCATGTACTTGCCGTAACCGTGGGTCTGGTCCGCCTGCCACTGTCCCAGGTATCTATCACCGTTGGCGGCCAAATATCTGCCGTAGCCGTGGGCACGAGACTCAACGAAGGTGCCCTCGTATGACGAACCATCAGGGCGGCTTAAGAGCCCATGTCCATGGCGACGGTTACCCTGCCACTGCCCTCGGTAGCGGATGCCATGCTCCACCTCAACCTCAGGCTTATCCACCAACTCCTTCTGAAACTGCTCGCTGGCGCGCCGACAGCTTTCAGACATCCGCTCAAAGATCCAAGATCCAAGCACACTAGCTTGGGCAGGTCCACAAGTTCTAAGCGTGTATCTTTCTCGCAACTCCGTCCAATCTCCCATGAGCTGTTCCAAGCTAGAATAGGCTCTCTCGCGCAACTTACGCTCGATCAGCGTTTGGTAAAGTTCCTGCGCCGCCTCCTCGCACTGTCGAGTAGACGCATCTACGTTCTCGGCCTTCAACGTATCGTAGTGCTGCTTAATGCGCTGCAGCAAGTCCTCCCTGAACTCCATCAGCCTCGGCTCGTCTTCGAGGAACCTGGGCTCCGTGAAAATCCTCACGGCCTCGGCCTTTGCCGCCTTGTGAGCATCGCGAAGCTCGTCCTCGTTAAGCGGCATGCGAACCTTGCACATCTCCGCAGTGTAGGTCCGAAGCGCCTGCTGCAGGCACAGTCGCATCTGCCGCTGTACCACAGAGGTCCACGCTGATTGAATGTTCGGCACGGCGCTATTGTTGATTGCATTGCAATACTCCTCGGACAGGCTGGCGAGCATCTCGCCAGAGCAGAGCGTCCCGCGGACCTCCTTCGGCTTCGCGGAAGCGAAGACCTTTTCCACAAAGGACTCCACCTGTCTGCGGAAGGGCTCCCGCAGCTCCTCGTACCTCAACTCGTTGACCCTCCGGAGCTCATCTTCGCCAGCCACAGGTCTGACCAGCGTAACGCAGTCCCGGTCGCGAAAAAGATCCTTGATCGTCTCACGTAGTTTGTTCTTATCCTGCTGTGCGGGCACATCCTTCAGCGCGTTTTCGAGGTAAGCCTTCTCCGTGATCGGCGACCCGCCGTCGTCCACTAGGCGCAGGTGGAAGTCCCTGACCACCCAGAGCAGGCTGGGGAAGTACTCTGAGATGTCGTCCCGTCTTGCGTGATCGTCCCTCTTGTGGTCGCCGCTCTTGGCACGGACGTGCCTCGCAATGTGCAACACCAGGTGTAAATCATCGATGGCCTGTTCGTCGATGGCCCCCATACAATTGTAGATGAAGTAGGACGATATCAAAATACACAAAGAAAATATCTGCATGTCGCAGCTTGCTGTCCTCTGTGCAGAACCAAGGCCCTCGGTGTCGACAAATATGCACTCGACACCCCCCTCTAGCTGCACAGGCGTGTCCCACATCCAGAGCCCTTTTGTGCAGGCGTTCACAGTGGGGCCGATCTCGAAACCATCCTGGCGGCCGAGCAGGCGGTTGAGGAGAAACGACTTGCCGGTCCGGTACAAGCCAGCGATGCCCACGACAGCCACCCTGCCCTGCAGACTTCTCAGTATGTCCTTCGCCTCGGGCTGCACGTAGCACTTGCCCTCTGCATCAATGGACACAAGCTGAACTGCCCTGCCTCCGCGTGGTGGCCCCGGGCCCCTCGAGGAGGCCGAGGGGTGCCGCGCCTGACGGTCCATCCACGCACTGCGCGAGCGGTGCAAGATCTGAAGACACAGTTCTGAGCCAAAACGGATACGGTTCGGCGACTACAACGGGTGCGGTTTGCAAAGGGTGCGGTCTGCCTCCCATCATACCTGCCCCTCCCGCCCCCGGGAAACCGATGACACCGTCACTCCATGCGACCCAATCACACGACACTGTCGCTCCTTCTAGTACAGTGGAGCACACATCTAGGATGACGGTGTCGCTCGAAACGACGACAGTTATGACAGCGTCTCTCACAAAGGCCTCGGAAAGGCCGCCACAAAGCAACTCGCAAACCGCACCCTGGCGTAACCGCACCAATTGCAGTCGCCGAGCGGTCGGGAACTCCTGCTCAGCGTGCCGCGGCGGCGGGCCCGGCGACACGCTGTGCCTTCCAGGCGGACGGCGCGCCGCTCCGCCCCTGCAGGGGCGGGGGCCCGGGAGGGGCTCGGCACGCGGGCGCCGTGGGGGCCGCGAAGCGGATGGCGTGTGGCGCCGAAGCGCGGTGGGCCAGAACCGGTGGAGCGGCACGTGAACAAGAGGTTCCCGGCCGTGCGGACCTCCCACCCGAGACGGATGAAGACGAGGAGAGGGCGCCTGGAGCCTGGTCGTCATCGCCACTGGTCTGCACGCTGTTCCGCACCGCGCCGCCGCGCAGAAGCTGGAATCAAAGGTGGCGCGTCTGCTTCGCTGGCCCAGCAGGCCAGAGACGTGCTAGCCCTCCACTTGAAAAGGCGCGAGAAATCCAAGGCTTGTCTTGCCTTGCGGCCCTCTGGGGGCCATCTTGAAATGCCCATGGGGTCATGGGGGCCTTCATGGGGTGCTCTGTCCCTTTGGAGTTTCGTGACAGCTTGAAGCCCCCCCCCAGAGGCCCCAAAGACGATTCAAGAGGGCTCCGAGTCGCCGCAATACCATTCCAATACGCCCAAGATGGCCTCCAGACGGCGCAAGATGCCTCCAAGATGCTTCACGAGGCCTCCAAGAGGTCCCCCAAGAGGGCCCCGAGGAGGACAAATGGTCACTCTTCCCGTGGGAAAGCGAATATTGTTACCAGATTAGAAACTCCCAGGAGGGCTCCAAGACGGCCCAAAAAGGCTCTTCTCGGGGATGGACAGACCCCCCTTTAGTAAAACGTGGTTTAGTGAAAACGACCTGAGGCCCAAACCTGGCGGGCGCACGCCTGGAAAATAACGGCCACTGCGCCATCTCGAGAACCGAAAACGGACAATTCACTAATCGACGTGTCACTGTTGGGGGTTCTGTCCGCCTCCGATCTTCTAAGACGGCCAACGAAGCCCCTAAGACGCCCCCAACAGGGCGCCCCGAGGGGGAACGCAAACGGTAATTTCAAGCCTTCGGCCTCAAGACGCCGCCACGCTGCCCCACGAAGCCCCCAAGAGGCCTCCAGGGAGTTCCACAAGGCGCCCCCAAACCCCCAAGAGTGAAGGGGCCCCAGGACACACAAATAAATACACACAAATAAAAAGGTCCCCCCATATTTTCCCATATTTTTAGGTTTTTTGTCTTCCCCCCCACTTCCCATATTTTTGCATATTTTCCTGGGAGTCGACGATTAATTGTGTCTGTGTGTTTCTTTCCCTCCTGAAAGAGCCCCCCAGGAGGTTCTCAAGAGCTCAAAAACTGTTTCCAAGACGAAGGAAGCCTCGCGGGGGCCGTTGTTTGGCCTCTTGGGGGCCGTTTCGGAACCTTCTGGAGCGTCGTGGGGGCCTCTTGGGGTCCTCTTGGAGCCTCGTGGCAGAGGGCATCTGGGGGCCCTCTTGGGACCTCCTGGGAGCCTCTCGAGGCGAAAGACTTGAACTTTCGGTTCATGCTCCCACTCTTGAGCCCAGCCCATCTTGGGGCCGTCTTTCGGGCCGCTGAGGCGGTCTTGGGCGCTCCTGGGGCCGTCATGGAGCCCTGTTAGGCCGTCCCAGGGGCCCTCCAGGGGGCCTTTGGGCGCGTCCTGAGGCGGTGTTGTAGGCCTCTTGGGCCGTCGTGGATTGTCGGAAGCTCAGAAAGTAGAGGACCCCCAGAGCATTGAAAAACCTCAGGTGGATCAAAGATTCGTGCCTCTCGGGGCAATCGTCTGGGGTCTCGGGCGCCCACTGGAGCCTGCCCAAGGCCGTCCTGGCGCAGCCCGGAAGCCTTCGGAGACTGTCCAAAAACCAGCGGTCGCGTGCCCCCACAGGGCCGCCCACAGCGTTTCGCGCGACCTCTTCGGCCCCACAAGAGGGCCCCACGACAGGCCGAAAGGGCCCCGAGAGGCGACCCAGAAAGGCCCGAGGGGGGCCCCGAATCGCCGCACGGCCGGTGGAGGGCGCCCAAGATAGGGTCCAAGTCGGCCGACCCAGCGCCGGAGACGGCCCAAGAGGCCTCCCAGACCCTTCCCGAGAGGGCCCCGAGAAGCGAAAATCATGCATCTTCCGCAGGTGTTTGAAGGATTGAGGCTTTCCCGCCTTCTCAGCTTCCCGACGCTCCAAGAGGACCCAAGAGGCCAGCAAGATCGCCCCAAGAAGCCCCCAAGAGGACAACAAAGCGTCCCCAGATGGGCTCCAAGATGGGCACCAGGACGACCCAAGAGGTCTCCAAGACGGCCCAGGAGGCCCCAGTCTTGGTTGCAGCTGGCCCCGCTACTCGCTTCTTGGGACCTTTTCATTCGCAGAAGGCATCTATACACCACCACCGTGCCAAGGCAGGGCCATCCTGGGCCCCAGGATGGTGTATACGCCCTCCTGGCCGAGGCCAAGAGGGTCTATACACCATCCTGGGGCCCCGGATGGCCCTGGCCTGGCACGGTGGTGGTGAATAGATGCTTTCGTCGGATCTTCAGGGCAAGGCCTGGGCCACGGCTCGGAGAGATGCTTGCCAGAGGGCCCTGGCAGCCTGCCAGCAAGGCTCAGCGCCCGCCGCCGGGGTGCGCAGCGAGAGAGCCGAGGGAGAGCAGGTCCGAGCAGAAGCGGCCCGAGCACGCCAACGTCTGCTGAGGCTCGGCAGAGCTGGCTGCGCAGGTTCGGGCAGGCAGACGGGGCACCGGAGACGAGGGCTCCCCACCACAGCAGCGCGCGGGGCAGTGGCGAGATCCACTGGCTTAAGCAGGAAGCAGCCGGCAACGCGAGGGCCACTGAGGCCGTGGAGGGGCTGGCACAGGCTCCGGAGCGTCGGGGCCTGGGATGCATCGGCCGTGCTGAAGCTGTCGCGCGTCCTAAGGAAGACAATCCATGAAGTGGTCGCACGTCCGAAGGGACAAGCAAGGCACGTGGGCGGACGTGGTCGCACGTGGTCGCCGTGATGAAGTGGTCGCACGTGGTCGCCGTGATGAAGTGGTCGCACGTCCTAGGGGACAAACGGTGCACGTAGACGGAACTCCCCCTATCCCGGCAGAGACGAATTCGGAGCTGCCTGGGGGCGAGAGCCGTATCCGAAGTCCACTCCGCGGACACGTCGGCCTCTTCCCCAGGGGGGCCCACCCCATCTTCCACGGCCCGGGAGACCGACCGCGGCCACCTTGGCCCACACCCCTGGGCGGGCAAGGGGGGCGGGGACCCTCTGGAAGACGGGTGGGTGTGCCTTGTGCCCGCCGTGCCCGCGCTACTGCCCAGGGGCTGGCGTGGCTACCGAGCTGCCTTGAAGCTTCCCCCAGATGATCTAAAAAGCGTGCGAGCCTCCCAGGAGCAGAGCGAGGCCACGCTCACGGACTGGCCCGCTCCAGAGAGCCCCACCTGCTCAGACTCGTGGCGTGACGACCCGGGCGACACGACGGGTGAGCTCGCTGCACCTCGCCCGCCTTGCGACCGGCAGCACGACTGGGGCACATTTCCAGGCTCGGCCGAAGGGCCGATGGCCTGCTGCTGCTGCTGCTGCTGCTGCTGCTCTCTCGCGAACTGTCTTCCCAGGTTTAGGGGGCCACATGTGAACCCTACCCCTACCCCCCACGATTTCTGAGGGGGAGGGTGGGGTTCACTTCGTTCGGGGGGGGTAGGGGTAGGGTTCGCATGTGGCCCCCTACAGGTTTTCTCTGCCCCGCAGCCCGCAGCAAGGCACGGCCCCTGTGCCGATCGGGCGTGTGCCGTGTATACTGCACCTGTGGCGTGACGGCCCGGGCGCTGGCTCCCGGCACGGCGGGTGGCTCGCCAGATCTCGAGCGACCGCCCCTCCGACAGCGCTTGGCGGCGCGCAGCCGGGGGTGGAGGGAGGGGGGGAGGCTCCGTAGAAGGAGACTGCTCCTTCGAAGGCGCGGGCCTTGCGTTTATCAAGTTCAGGCCCGCGCCTTCTGAGCAGGGGTGCGTCTGAGAAGCCTTCCCCTCTCCCCCATGCCCCTTTCTGCGCGCGGCCGAACCGCAGACCTTTCCGCACCGGCTCAGCTCAGGGCTCCGGCGGCAGTCAACCCCGAACGCCAGCGCATGGGTCGCCGCCGCGTCGACCAGAGGATGAGAAAATGGCAGAAGCATCAATTTTCGGAGGTCCGCGCGGATTTCTTGGATCGGCGCCTGGGACCCCCTGGCGCGCGGGGCGCGCCAGGGGCGGCGCCGGAGGCGCCGCCAGGGGGCCCCAGGCGCCGATCCAAGAAATCCGCGCGGGGATCCGAACATGTACTGTTGCGGAGTTCTTTCTCCTGCGAGAGGCGAAGCATGATTGGTTCGCGACGGCTCCTGGACCTCCAGAGGACTGTGCTTTCCCCTGGGATTCGGGGCCCCCCGAAGCCATGTGGTGACGGAGCTCCGTTACTGCACGGTTTTGGGACCTGAGGCCCCAGCCGCCTGGGGCGTCCTCGGAGAACGACCCGAATCCCCAAACCGCGTGGTGACCCCGAGTCCCCACCGACTCACCACGTGGTGTGATCACCACACCGTCTGGAGTGGAACAGATCACGGCGTCGGAGGTCTGGGATTCGCGGCGGCTTGACGACGACACGGCCTGGGGAGCAGCTCGGGGCGAGCAGAAGCCGGCGGGAGAGCGTGATCGGAGCCTCCTCTGCCGTGCGATCTTGGCCTGCAGTGGGCAGACCCTGGGCCTGCCGCTGCGGCCTGGCGCCTGCCAAGGAGGAGGAGGGCGCCGAGGCTGCCGGAATCGCCGAGGGCGTCCCTCGGAGGCACGGCCCGGGGACAGCAAGACCCTGGGGGGCAGCTCGCAGAAAGCGAGGGCAGCGGGAGGCCGTGGCGGTAGCCTCTTCTGGTGGCGTGCCGTGAAATCTTGGCCGCGGGGGCCATACTTCGGCCCTGTCGCTGCAGCCCGGCGCCAGCCGAGGAGGACAGTGGGCGCCGATGCTGCCGGAACCGCCTGGAGCCCCCCGGCTTCCCAAGGCCACCCAGAACTTACACGGGCCTCTGACACATGAGAGCTATGCTGCTGCTTCTTCTCTCCCTCATCACTCCTTCCCTTTTTCCTTCCTCCCTTCTCCTCCTCCTCCTCCTCCTCCTCCTCCTCCTCCTCCTCCTCCTCCTCCTCTTCCTCCTCCTCCTCATCCTCATCCTCCTTCCTTTCCATCTCCCTCCATCGTCCTCCTTCCTCCTCCTCCTTCTCCTACACCTACTCCTCATCGTCTTCCTCCTTCTCCTCCTCGCCATCAGCTTCATCAGCACCGTCAGCAGCATCATCAACGCCCTTCTTCCTCCTCTTCCTCCTCCTCCATCCCTCGCCCTCCTTACCTCTCCTCGCTGCTCTCCCTCCCCCCTCCGCGCCCTCCTGCACAGCTGGCCAGGAGGAGGGGGAGGAGGAGGAGGAGGAGGAGGAGGAGCAGGAGGAGGAGAGGAGGAGGAGGAGGAGGAGGAGGAGGAGAGGAGGGGAGGAGGAGGGGGAGGAGGAGGGAGGGGGGAGGGGGAGGGGGAGGGGAGGAGGGAGGGGGAGGAGGAGGAGAGGAGGAGGAGAGGAGGGAGGAGGAGGAGAGGGAGGAGGAGGAGGAGGAGGAGGAGGAGGAGGAGAGAGCGAACATCCGCAGGCACGCGCTCCCGCGGGCCTCGGGCACGCGGGCCGCCCCCCGTCCCCCTCCGCGTTGCGGGCCGCGAGCTGCGTCATGGGCTGGTCCAGGTGGACCTGGGGCGAGGGGGAGGGGGCACGAGTTCGGGATTCTGATTTGCTGGAAGAGAGCGAGAAGAAGCAAAAGAAGAGAAGGAAGAGGAGGAGGAGGAAGAAAAAGAAGAAGAGGAAGAAGAGGGATGCGAAGAGGAAGAAGCAGAAGAAGAAGAAGCAGAAGAGCGCGCGACCACTGAGCCTCACCGCGGCGTTGCTAGCACGGTAGCGCGAAGCAGGCGATCGCCAGTCAGCCATGGCCTGCCACAGGCAGGCCCATGCGAGGAGCCGACGATGTTGAGTGCGGAAAGCCCAGAGGGCGAGTGGGGATTCTGGGACTCTGGGGATCTGGGTAGGCCTCGCGCGCGCCCACGAAGGGGCACGAGGTCTGGGCAGAGAAAAAAAGCAGGCAGCCACGGGCGGCGAGGGCGGCGGCGGCCGGGACGGCGACGGCGACGAGGCAATCTCGCCATGAGTAGCACTGCCTCCTCTCCCCTTCCCTCGCCCCTGCCTGTGCTGCTCTCGCCCTCTCGCCCCGGACGCCGCCTCGGTCCGTCCAGGGCCCTGGAGCCCGCTGGCGCGAGAGGCCCGCCGTGTGCGTCCGGCGAGGCAAAGAATACCATCGAACCGTTGCATCGGCCCCAGCTCCACTACAGCATGAAGAAACGCGTTTCCTGATTTTTATCATCATCGAACGCACGACAGACGGCCGACAGGACACCTGCAGCGACACGACCGACGGGGAGGGGGGACGAGGATGGAGGTGAGGAGGGGGGGAAGGGGGGGGGACCAAGAACTCCGACGTCGCGAGTTGTTCATACCGTCGACCCGTTGTTTGACGATCTCGGAGCACTCTGGTCAACGATCACCCGGAGCAAGCCAGGATACCACCCGAAGCGTGCAGCAGAGGACGTGTGCCACAGGAGGAGGACGCAGGAGGGGAGAACGACAAAGAGGCACGTGTGATTCAAACCATCCTTCTACCCCCGCGGCCTCGTCTCCGATCCCCAATGCTACAGAGCACCAGGCTCATACACTGGACCCTGTACTCGGCAACACCCTGCCCAAGTGCAGCTCGGGAACGACGATCTGATCCGCGGCTGCTGTCTCCAACAAGCCACACAGGTGTCAGAGATCACCTTCCTGCTACGCCCCGCTCAAACATTGCTCCACGACCTCCGTCTGCAACGCGCCGCCAAGTTCTCCACACCAGCCTCCCTAAAAGCAACTTTTTTTTTAAACAAAAAAAAAAAACACAGCACACCCTGCACGCCCGCCTTCTGACTTACCCCACCCGCCACTATACACGGACCGCCGCGCCTCCGACACCACTCGCTCCCCGCCCACCGTGAGCCAGCCCCTCTTGACACGGCCAAGCTATGTAGAAATTTCTGGCGCGTGCAGATCTGTACACAGATGCACATCTTCGCCGATCGTATATATATATATATAGAGAGAGAGAGAGAGAGATACGCCCGGACGCCCCCCTAAGATATGCAGACCCCCCCACGCCAACACCCCCGTTCCAGAGCCCAGGCGACGGGCCCAGAGAACTCCCCAAACTGCCAAGAACTCTTTGAGGCTCTCGCCCGGCCAGGCCCCAGACCGCCCGCGAATGCATCTGGGTCGCCCTGAGGGCTTCCGACACGCTCAGGGACTGCCCCCGATTGCTGTCAAACGCCCACAGCAGCGGCTCCCAGGAGGCCTGGAGAAGGCACTCCGTGGACCCTCAAGAGGGCGCCACGAGGCGAAATCATTCACTGACCCTCCTCAGGTTTTCCGACCGCCCGAGGAAGCCTCCGAGACCGCCCCAGGACGACCGAAGAGGTCCCCCAAGAGGGCCCCGAGGCGGCCCACATGGGGCACCAAGACGGCCCAGGACGCCTCCCAGAAGAGCCTAAGACGCACCCCAGAGCGACCCAAGAGACGCCCCCAAGTAGCCGCGTCAACCAACTGGCCCCAACCCTGACTTCAAATCCGCCGTGCTGTAGTTGATGTTCAGGCTTGCACCTGTGTCGGAAATGCACCCCAAACGATGCGACAAAGTCAGACGGAAAGTCCCACCTCAGAACCGTAGGGCGGATAAGGTACAGTCGGACCTAGGCTAAAAGAACATCCCTGAAGAGCATGAAACCATCCGTCGGCCAAAACATACAGAACATCCAAGGGTACCCTCCGCAGATTGCACAAGAACATCGAACAAACACGAAGAACCCGTGAGTACCCTCCCCGAACCGACCTCGATCTTAAACCTTGGTCCGACTGTAGCAAAGGTATGGCGGAAACAAGGACAGCTAAGTAGGGCGGAAATCGACATCAAAGGAGCTTGAACAGTAGGGTGGGGATCTCTGCCCTGCTGCCGAAATCACGCCAAAAGTACGGCGGACCTGGAGTCCGTGAAGAGGACCCAGGAAGCCCCCCCATGACGCACCCGAGATGCCCTCAGAGGCCCCCCAAAATGCCGGCAACCTCCACACCGCTGTCGCAGGGTCACCGCTGACTGGAGACCCCAAGACACCAGCAAAACGCTTCCCCTGACCGCCAGCAGGCCCCCGGCACGTAAGAGGCCCCCACAAGAGGACATAAGAGGACCTTAAGCAATCCTGGGCCATTTGGGGGGCAGGCTGGGTCGTCTTCTGGGCTGTGGGTTGGCGCGGGGGGGGGTGGGTCTGCAGATGTGTATGGGGGGGGCCCGGGTGTAGCTTTATAGCATAAGAGAGAATACACATGGAGAGAGGAAGGAGAGAGAGAGAGAGGGAAAACAACAAAAAACGCGAGAGAGAGAGAGAGAACAAACAAAAACAAAGAAAGGGCTTGCTCTTTGATTCCGTGCGTGCTCTCTGTCAGGATGGTCCAGGATGCTCCTCGACGGTCCTCGCCGAGAAACACTGCACACGCCCGAGCGAGATGCCAAGAGAGAGAGAGAACAAAAAAACAAAAGTTTTTATCCAACGCAAGACGTCCCCACCACCTCGTCTCTTTGTCCGTGTCCGGGAGAGAGCGCGAAGGCCAACTGCAGGCAGAAGCCATGCACGAGGGAAGAGTGGGACCCGAGCACAGGACCAGGAAGGAGCAGCACCAGGAGGCAGCAACAGGAGGAGAAGAAGCAAGGGCGCAATGCGACGAGCCCTCGATGCCAAGAGAGAGAGAGAGAGAGAAAATGGTGCTGCATCTTCGGGGGACCACGTCGACTCCGTGTCGAATCCGTGCCGAGCGCGTCGAATCCGTGTCGAATCCACGCCGAAATCCGCGTCGAACCCACGTCGGAGTACAAGGAAAGACTGCCCCCGAATATGCAAAGTATATATATATATGTAAACATATGTGTATATGTATATATAATTCTATCTGAAAGAGAGAGAGAGAGAGACAGAAAAAAAAAAAAAATGTTTAAACGCAGCAAAAGAAACAGGCGCGCAAGAGAGAGCGCAGAGCGACGATCCTCGGCCAGGCAGGCAGGCAGGCGGGCAGGGGGGCGGCGACGGCAGCGACGCGAAAGGGGCGGCGCCGCGGCGGGCAGCGGGGCGCCGCGGCGGCATCCCGCGCGCGCCGGCCTCCAGCAGGGAGTTCAGCGGCCTCTGCTTCGCAGACACCTCGCCCTTCATCAGCCACGGCTTCTCCTGCGGACGGGTCCGCTTCCCCCGCTTGTTCGGCTGCACGCAGGAGTGGTGGCCCTGGGTGAGGGTGGCCTCTGGTGCGCGGCCTTTTGGGGGGCCACGGGGGGGCCGAGCACAAGCGCGCAAGGCGCTACCATCGCGTCGCGTTCGGCGATCGGGGGACACACCAATGGGCCCGCATCAAAGGTCACTCCAGCGAAAAGGGCACTCTTACGTCTAGTCGACTTTTCTCCCCTCCTGTTTGGACGCCCGAAATGGGTACAGAAAAATGGGTACAATGCACAACAGCACATGTTGTCCCACACCAACCGCGGCCGCTGTTGGGCAGGCGGCCTTCTGTCTCGAATGGACACAGGCCGCGGCGGCGTTGACAGCGAGTCCTGCTCAAAATGCAACAGGAACTGCTGTTGGGCATTGTACCCATTCTTTCCGTGCCCATTTCGTTCGTGCCGATCCTGCCGCCGGACAGAGAACGCCTGCCGCCTCCCAGCCCGCCCGAGCGCGCGTGTGCGGACTGCCTCTGCCGCGCTGCGACGTGACAAAGAGGACGGGTCCGCGCCCCAGTGGGCCCCCGCCCCGGAGGTGGGGGAGGAGGACGAACACGGCGTGAGTGCCGCCAGCTCAAGCATCGCAGCTGGCCCCGCCCACATCCGCAGCTGCTCCCATGACAGATGGCAGCTCGAACGCCACAGCGGACCCGACCGACTCCCGCGGCTCCTCCCATGACAGTCGGCGGCGAGTCCAGGGGGGAAGTGAGAGGGGACAGGCCTGCTCAGAGGGCGGCGGGGCTTCTCAGAAGACCTCGCGCCTTCGAATGCATGCTCCAAGACTTCTCTGGAGGCAGAAACGGCTTCCCAGAAGGCCGGAGGGCTTCCTGAGAAGTCCCGCCACCTTCTGAAAGACCATTCCTTCACTCCTGGGGGGTAACACGTGTCACCCTTGGGGGGGGGCCGGGAGGTAACGGTAACGGGGGCCGCGGCGCACACCCCCCGAGGCGCACCGCCTACGTCGTCTTCGTCGTCGTCGTCGTCGTCGTCGTCGCCGCCGCCTTCGTCGTCGTCGTCGTCGTCGTCGTCGTCGTCGTCGTCGTCGTCGTCGTCGTCGTGAGGGGGCAGGCCTCAGAGGCCTGCCCCCTCTCACTCCCCCCCTGGGCTCGCCGCCGAGACATGGCTGCTCGAACGCCCCATTGATCCCGCCGATGCGACGGCTCCCCTTCGGCATCTGGGGCTCAAGAAAAACTCGCCAGGCCTGCGTAAGCGGCCCCAAGACAACCCAAGGAACCCCCAGGAGAGCCCCGAGACGGGCCAAGAGTGCCCCAAAACGGCCCGAGAGGCCTCCAAGACGGCCTCAGAAGGGCCCCAGCTGACCCCACGTACCTGCAAGACGGCACCGAAGCGCCCGAACAAGGCCCCACGACGGTCCAGAGAGGCCCCCCAAGGCGGCTTCCGAGGCCCCCGAGAGGCTCCCAGGAGGCCCTGAGAAGGCCCCAGGAAGCCCCGAAGAGGCGACCTCTTCCTCCTCCTTCTCTTCCTCAAGTGCCATGTGCTCCCCCATATCAGCGACGACCGGGTGAACGCGTAGTCCAATACAGTGGGCGCACGGCCGCAGGAAACCGTCGCAAGAAACTCAAGATACCTTCGGCGCAGCGGGGTTTCTTCGATGGCGGGGCTCTTTAGCAATTTCGTTGTCGGCCCTCCGATTCCGCGCGGACGCAAGAAATGCAAGGTACCATCGGCGCAGCGAGGTTCTTCGGTGGCGGGGCGGTGCTTCCGCGAGGTGGAATTGGGAGGACACCCAGGGACTCCTGAACGCGAGAGTTTCTTAACGCCCGCGGGAAACCATCGCGGGCCGCGCGGAGCGAAGAAACCCAAAATGCCCTGGCGAAAAACATCCGGTTTCTTGGTACGCGCCCTCACTGCAGCCTGGCCAAGCAGTAGCTGAACGCTTGGCCACACGAGTATTCCAGAAAGGCAGGGACAGGCTCCTCCTCCTCCTCCTCCTCCTGCCATCCCTGTCTCCCTCCGACTCGCCCTCTTGTCGCTCCTCCCCCTCCTCCCGCCTCTTCTCCCATGCCATCCCCCTCTTCTCCCTCTTCCTCGAGAAGGAGGAGGAGGAGGAGGAGGAGGAGGAGGAGGAGGAGGAGGAGGAGGAGGATCCGTAGCCATTTTGGCTCAAGACCAAACGGGGGGAAGCAACGAAGTTGCGAGGTAACCTGATTGGTCTTGTTGCCCATCCGTGGCCACCCTCGAGGCCGATTCAGGCCAGGTTTTCGCGAGCACGTTCTTTCCCGCCACGGCGAGCCGCCAGCGCGGCCGTGGTTTCTGTTTCAGGACGCAGGAGCCCATCGAGCCATGTCGCCAGGTTGGTACTGTGGCAAGTGCGGGTTCTACAACTACGGGCACCGCCGTGTCTGCCGCCAGAGCGGATGCGACGGGTGCAATCCAGTTCAAGCAGCCCGGCCTGATCAGAGCTACTGGGCACAGTACTCGGTGCCAGGCGGGGTGTGGTATCAAGGGCCTCCAGTGCTTCGGCAGGGAGATGGAGGCACAGGTGGCGGCAAGCATGACAAGGGCGGCAAAAAGGGCCTGGGGGGGGAAAGTCCCCTCAGGGTGGCAAAGGGCCAGGTGGTGGGCAACCGCCACGGACCCTCGCGCAGGAGGAGCGTGAGATGTGGATGGCCATGTCGGAAGAACAGTTCGCCGTTCTGGGTCAAAGCTTGTCGCAGTCGCACAGAGATCAGTTCGCCCACGCGCGTGCCATGGCCAACTTCGGGCTGCAGGGCGCGCAGGCGGAGGCGCAGCAGGCCAATTTGCAGATCGGCAAGTTCTCGCAGCAGGTGCTGCATCAAAAGCAGAGGCTCGCGAAGCTGGAGGAGCAGGCGCAGCAGGCGATCATGGCGGCGGTCGTGGCCAAGCAACAGTTGCAGGAGACGGAGAAGCAGCTGGGCGAGGCCAAGCGGCGCGCGGCCGAGCACCTGGGGGCCCAGGGGCTGGCGCAGCAGATCGCGACCGACGCGTTCGAGGTGCCGATCAAGGAGGCGCTGGGAAAGTTCGAGCAGGCGGTGCCGTCGGAGCTGGCCCCGCAGCTGCAGGGCGCGGTCGACGCGCTCAGGGCGGCCATGGCGGTGGTGGCGCAGCAGGCCGCGGCGGCGATGCAGGGGAGGCAGCCTGGTGGCGCCTCGGCGTCAGGCGGCGCCGTCGGCGCCGCCGCCGCGGGCGCGGGCGCGGGCGCCGCCAGCGCAGGAGGCGCAGGCGCTGGCGCCCAGACGCCAGGCGCCCAGGGCTCCGCAGGCGGCGGCGCCGACACGGAGCGCGACGTCAAGATGGTCGAAGCAGATGGTGGTGTTCTTATTGACCTTCGCTCTCAGCTCGAGTCTGATGGCAAGCTCACGGATCCCGAAGTGCAGGCCACCATCCAGAGCCTGTTCAGCAAGGCGACCCAGCGCCTTGAGGAGGAGAAAGCTGGGGTGGCAAAACGAGACAGGCGCAGCAGGAGCCCAGGATCGTGATGTAAGCTGTCCAGTTCCTAGCCTGTGGATTTTTTTCCCGGCCAATGTCACAGGTTGGCCGAGATGCCAGAGTTTTTTGGAGAAGGAATGTGATGGAGTCACATGTTTCCTTCAGGAGTGCAAAGTAGAGAAGGCCAATCTGGCCCAATCCAGCAGCACACTTTTGAAGTTTGGTTGGAATGTAAGTTTAGGAGCCTGTGAGGTGACCCAGCCTGGAGGCTTGTCTTCGGGGGTAGGAGTCGCCTGTAGAGTAGGAGTAGGCATGGGTACCCTATGGTACCCTGGAAGGTTTGCCGAGACCAACATCGAGAGTTGTATCTGCGTGGGTTGGTGGATTGCTGAAAGGTGGCATCATTGGGGTCTCGGTCTACTTACCGTCGGGGGAAGGCGCAGGGGCCCAAGGGCGCCAGATCCTGATGCAGCTCGGAGGGTCACTGTATACGTCTGGGCAACCCTTTGTTATTGGAGGGGATTTCAATGCGACGGCTGATGAAAGCAGAGCTCTTGGGATCCTGGAGAAGTTCGGAGGTGTTATTGTCCAGCCTGGGAAGCCTACGTGCAGAGTGGGCAAGGAATGGAGAACGATCGATTTTTTCATAGTCTCAGGAGGACTGGTCCCAGCAGGTGTAAGATGCGATAGGGTTGAAGAGACAGAGCTTTCGACGCATTTCCCAGTTAAGCTAGTACTTCGCACGGACTCGCATCTTGCTCAGATTCGAGTGCTGGCCAAACCTCGTCAGTTTCCCGATGAGTTACCAGTGGGACCTGCACCAGGCCCGCCGCCAGCTTGGGAAGAGTTGCAAGATAGGTTGGAGACCTTCGTGGCAGGCTCGGGTTTCACGGCTGAGCAGCGAAGGATACGTATGCCGACTTCTGTGCATTGGCTGAGCAGGAGCTGGTGAACACTTACCAGATCGCTCCAGCGCAGGCCGATGGGTACAAAGGAAGAGGAGCCCCCTTCAGGTTCGTTTGGAGGCCCGCTCTAACGAAAGCCGGAGGCCCCTACCCTCTGGGATCTCCTGCTTCCAGGGCAATGAGGAGGTAGAACGTCAGGATGGAGGAGTTACTGTTTCTGCTCCGCAAGGGCCGTTCAGGCCAGGGTAAGCAGGTGCAGGACTTGCTGAAAAAGGCAAGGGAGCCGCCCACGATCCTGCGGGAGTGCGAGCGCTGAGTCAACTGGAGGCATACGCATTTCTCTCTGGAAGGATACCACGCCGAGGCGCTGCACGAAGCGATCCAGGACCATGTAAAGTGCATCCAGGGTGAGGAGCAGGTTTGGAAAAGGTCTCGGCAACAAGAGTGGAGACAACGGGCCCGCTCGGCCCTGGAAAACGGCGGAGGCGGAGTTCACAGGTGGACAAAGCAGCCCAACGACTGGATCCCCGCGGACCCTGGCCTCGACGGGGCCCCTGGTGGTTTTCAGGATCAGGTGGAGGCCCTGGAGGAGGAGTGGAAGCACATCTGGAGGTTCGGGGAGGTGCCCAAGGTCGCTCCCAGGATGCTCAGTGAGATGCCCCTGGAGGAACCGAAGCCGCCTGTTGCGCCAGATAACATCAGGCCCGTCTTGGGGAAGTTCAAGAAGCACAGCACGCGCTGAAGCAGCTCTGTACCTCTGGCCTGCTTGCTCTCAGTGTCCTGATGTATTTGCGGGACGCGCGCTCCCAGCTGCCCGTGCAGATTGCGCTGCTCATTTTGCCGTTTTTGCAGAAGCCTGAAGGGGGGGGGGAGGCCCATCGGGATCATCTCCACCCCTGTGCGACTCCACAGTCGGCTTCGTCATGAGGAGGCGGAAAGGTGGGAGGACAAGCACGCGCGCACGTACATGCACGGAGGAAAGGGTAAGAGTTGCGAGATGGCCATCTGGAAGCAGGCGTCGTTGAACGAGGCCGCTCGAGCCAGCAAATTTTTCAGTGGATGCACGCTGATTGATCTGGAGAAGGCGTACGAACGAATCACGCACGAGCAATTGATAAGAGCACGCAACAAGCACGGGTTCAGTTTGAGGAGGTTAAGGTTTCTCCTGTTGGTTTACTCGGGCAAGCGGGTCATTAAAGTAGGAGAGGCGGTGTCTTTGCCCTTTGAGCTGAACACCACCATAGTGGCAGGATGCTCGTATGCGACGACGCTGCTGAAAGTAGTGCTGCTAGATGTTTTCAACGCTGCGGCCAAGAAGTGGCCGAGGATCGGCATTTCTTTGATGGTGGACGACACTGGTCTCCAGGCAGTGGGTGACCAGAAACATGTTCGGACTCAGCTAGTTAGGTGCACTCTGTTTGTTTGCAGGTCCCTGGAGAAGCTCGAGATGAAGGTTTCGAGACGTAAATCGATCCTGGTGGCCTCGGACCCGAAACTTGGAAAGCAGCTGGCATGGGCGCTTCGGGAATTTGGGCTCAAGCATGTTCAGGCGACCAAAAATCTCGGGGTCGATTTCAAGCTGAGGACTGGAAAGGGTAGAAACGTCACAAAAAAGAGACTGAAGACGACCAGGGGCAGGGTGCGAAAGTTCAGGGCTTTCAGATTCTCTCGGAAGCCGCTTCAGAATGTGTATCGAGGAGGCCCCACGCTGGCGGTAATGCATGGTGTTTCTGTCGCCGGTCTCGGCGACACGCAGTTGGAGCAGCAGCGCGCCTCGACGGGGGCGGCCATTTTCGGGCCTGCCAAGGGCCGCAGCCGCAGCTTGCAGTTCCTTTTGGCTGAGGTCGAGAAGCTCGACCCGATGTTCGCAGCAAATTCTTTGCCTCTGCAGATGTGGGTCAGAGCAGTATTTGATTCGTGGGCCACGGATGCCCCGATGAAGCACGCCTTCGACTACGCGGTCAAGGCTAGGTCTCAAGGGTGGAGGACGGTCCTAGGCCCAGCAGGAGCGGTGGTGCTCACCCTTCGAAGGCTCGAGTGGGAAGCTGTCTCCTGGGATGTTTGGGTCAACGCTGACGGAGTGACCATCAACATCAAAGAAGTAGGGCCTAGGACTGTGCAAACCCTAGCGGATGAAGCGACCAGACGGCTGCTACGTATACGTGCGGGAGCTCATTACAATGCCTCTTGGGAGCCATATGTGGAGCCTCTGCGTGATGAACTTGCTAGGTTAAGAGGTGCTGGAGATTTTCTTGGGGCCAGTCTGCTTATCGCACAGGTTTCTGGAGGTCTCTGGACTCAGGCTGATGTGTTCAGGAAGAGGTACGTGATTGATGATCGGTGACAGTGGTGCCTCCAGAAGAGGGGGTCGGTTTTTCACCGATTATGGGGCTGTGACGGCTCCAAGCTGATCAGGAGGGACCATGACAATAGTGGAATGGGGGCCGCAGCCGTGGCCCTGACTCAGCCTGATATCTTGTTCACTAGAGCCCTTGTGGACTCCAAGAGGACCGAGTTCCCCAAGATCCTCCAAGGTGCCGAGTATAGGTGGGCTGTGAAGCCCGAGAGTGGAGTGCTAGGCGACACTGTCTGCATCGACGGCTCCGCCTACGACGGAGATATTCGTTGGTTTTTGCGTGCTGGTTGGGCGGTCGTCTCTATCAGCCCGAGTATGCAGGTGGACGCAGTGGCCTACGGGCCTTCCCCTCTCCCAGTGCAGGACGTGCCGTCCAGTGAGCTTTACGCCCTCTACATGGCGCTGTGCCTCATGGGACCCAGTATCCACATCATAACGGATTGTAAAATGGTCTACGACGGGTGGAACATGGGAAGGGAGGGGACGGTAAAATCCAACAAGTGCTACGCGGAGC